TACTTCATTTTGACCAAAAATCAAATAAAAGAAGGGTGGTCTCTGACTTTTTCATAGTACTGCATATATGTATTATATGTATTTTTTATTTCAGGTACTATACAGCTACATGGGTTCTAGTTATATTTCATAACTCACAGCTTTCATAACAGTTATGAAACCTCTCTGAGCTTCAGAAAGTCCTGCTATTAGTCACTCTCAGCATATTCAGATTCAGAAGACCGTTTTGTCTCCCACAAAAATGAGATAGAAAAGGAAATTGAGCACCCTACACGACAGGCACACAAACATGAGGCACACCTTTTTAAAAAGTATTTCCTAAACACAATAGTTATGTAAGAAATTTGAAAATGACAAAAGCAAGGGTTTAAAGGGGAATTCAACCAATTTTGCCTTATAACACCCAACATGTACCTCTTCACCATGAATGGATATTAAAGAAAATGTGTTTTAGGCCAAAATCTCATCACAAAGCAATATCTGGGCATCAGGCAACATATTTGCAACAGTGTCACGGACAGATCAATCATAACACCACCAAGAATTACTAAATCAAAACTTTACCAAATGTTTTGGTAGTAAATGTTTCTGTAGTGACAATTTTAGCACATTTTGAGTGTAACTTAAATGCTAGCAATACATGACTAGCAAACACAGATTCGAATGGTTGTATACACAAAAAACATAAAAGAGGTTTATTAAATTGCTCACTAAGTGATAATGAGGGAAAGGGATGCAGTCTCACTTCCTGCTCTAAAATGCAGGGGTGTGGTTAAAATAAACCTCCAGGTTTCATGATATGAAAACATGGGATGGCATTTTAGAATTTTTTTTTTTTAATTTAAAAATTAAACCCATAATAAATCTTATCATGTTAATTTATTTTCACAAGTTGAAACATAGGGATTAGAGTTTGGGGCAGCCACCTCCCGATAGCAAGTACAGTGTAAATGATGCTTATATATATATATATATATATATATATATATATATATATATATATATATATATATATGTATATAGCTTATTACTATATGAGTTAATGCCTAAGGTTCTTAATAGATCATAACATAATCCTTGTAAACATCTAAAGTCTGAATACTTAATTCTTTTAACTAACTTTTTTTTTTTTTTACTGTGGGGCTGTAGTTTGAACAAATTTGTTATAAAAGTCCATGTAAATAAATAAATAACTTTCAGGTAAAAGTTATGACTTGACTGAATTTTATTGATGATTTTCTTTCATTATTCTGTCCCACATGTGTTAACCTTCGCAGCCGGGATTTAACAATGAGTCTGCCATGATGTGAGATGGTTCTTTGTTCTTTTTGTTACATTACACACATACTGACTCTAACACACACACTGGCAGTTTCTCTATGTGAGAATGAAATGGATTTGAGCTGAAACATGGCCTTATCTCCTCAGAGCAGCCGTGCCCTACCTGTTTCCTGTCAGATTCAACCTCCTCCATTTAGACTGACAGATATTCATCACTCCATCGGCTCCCTTCATTAAACCCCCCCCCAAAATGAGCTCTTATCTCGATCATCGTAGCCCTATTTTAATTAGCAGCATTCAAAGCAATGCAGTGGAGCAGAATTGATCTCATATGGAACAGTACATCATGCTAGCTGAGGCCATGAATGACCAGAAAGGCTGCTTTTATCGCTTTTATGAGGATTTGAAATTAGCTGAACAGAATCGCCTGCAGGTAATAATGATATCTCTGAAAGTCTGTTATTAGGTTTGTTGATGAAGTCCATTATAATAGTGTGTGCATTGCTTTCCAGTGCAAACCAGTCCATTTCTTGCCATTTCATTGTAGTGAGTCAAATCACCACAGCTTTTCTGCTGCCAGTCAAATCTTTTGCTGATGCTAATGGTGACTGGCACCAGATTCACTTTACACAGATCCCACTGGAATGATGCTATACCCAGGGGTTAAATTGTTTCTTTCATGAGTGCCACATATGTGAGGAAAATATCATTCAATTTATGCTATTCTTTGGACAGCATCTGTGTCATGGTAAAGTGACAACAAATTTTCAATATTTGTTTCAGTTTAATGGCTTTAATTAACTGCAGTTGGGTGATCAGACCTTAATGACGAAATCTATTTGATTTTTCATCAAGAAGTAAACAAGGTCATTCAGTGTTTTGTTGTGAAATAGTAGATGGTAGATGGGTAGTGGAGAAACCTAAAGATTTTCTTTACAATGGCAATGGGGAACTAGGGATCCTATCATTCAGGGGTCAGCAATGTTTACAATGTAGATATAGCCATTTTATTTACTATCCAAAATGACCAGTAAACCTACACATCATTTTAATTTTTAAAAGTAATGTTGACAATGGTAAAATAGTGGTAAATCAGAAAAAAATACGTTTTCTAGGGACTATTTTGCCTTGCAATGCTCTGCATGTTTCCTCCACCATATATCTTTAGAAAATATGATTCAGGCCAAAAGCTCACCTCAAATCAGTCGTAAACAACTATTTGGGCATTAGGAAATGCGTTTGTAATCATTTCACATTATAACTTTATGTGTGGGAGGCATTAAATGCTTTGGCCGTTTGGGTCCTATCACCACCACTGTGAACAGAATCTGCCTGTGAATTATTTTCTCTAGAGTGACACACTTTTCATCCAACCACTCGGAATCACTTAGTTTACCTCTTTAAGATTTAAGAATACAGACATTTTGTAAAACGTAATTCCCTTTTTCGTTATATTGTCAATTTTTGCATCAAAATTTCTTTTGATTTGTTTCTGCTAAAATGCAAGTCACAGAAGAGCTTTTACACTAGCATCCGTGTCAATTTTATCTCAAACTCTAGCTGAATTCAAGATTAGCAGGAGCTGCAGGAAGGACTGAAAATGTACATGGATGATTGTGAAAATCGGTAGAACAAGAGAAGAATGTACCACTTCACAAACACATACAAATGCGCCACCAATAAAAGTGGGATCATGGGATAATGTTAGATGGAAAAGAGGCAGGTGGGAATGTAACTGTTTCACATTGAATAGTTAAAGGGATGCTCTGGCCAAAATAAAAGGGGTTCACTGTGGCTACATCTGTTGTAAACATATTTACTTGCATCTTTACAGTAGTGCCACAGTAGTCTCTAGAGTGAGATTTTCTGGTTTAAAGACTAAGAAAACCCTTTTTTGATAGTGTATAATGAAGATGAAAATGAGTATTGAAAAACTACAATTGCTTGGGAGGATTTTTGAAAGTTAGCCGGTGAATGCAGAGACAAACCAGATAGCTAACACTACTGCTAGGAAGCCAAATATTGCATATTGCAGCCATGCAACTGTAGTAATTGTCTTCAAATCATCATTTCACTTTCTTTATTTTAGGGAGCCATATATTATTCAAGTGAGAATCAGCAGAAGAGCTGCATTTACAGCAATATTGTTCAGTCAATATTTTAAATAAAAACAATTTATTGAACACAAATGGCATCAGACCAGCAATAGGGCTCAACACGATATCAGATAAAAACAGTTAATGGTATGCTTTTGGCTTCTAAACATTAGCAACACAGCCTCACAAAACGCTACGTTCAGCAGTTCCAAAAAACCTAATTCCAAAAACGTTGAGACAGCAGGAAAAATATCAATAAAAACAGACAGCAATGATTTGCAAATGCTTTTTGACCTGTACTCAACTGAAAACACTACAAAGACAATATATCTACTGGATCAACTTTTTTTGTACATCTACACTTATTCTAAATTTGATACCTAAATCATGTTCCAAAAAGGTTGAGACAGGGGCATGTTCACCACTTCATATCATGTTCACTACCACTCAGTAATCGTTTGGGAACTGCGGACACCAGTTGTTGCAGTTGTGAAAGTGGGATTTTTTCCAATTCTTTCTTGATATACCACTTCAGCTGCTCAACATGTCCAGGGTCTCTTTTAATCTTGGGGGAATCTTTTAATAATGTTACGGACTGTGGTGACATCCCTTTTTTCCTTGCAATCATGCGTTGAGAAACATTGTTCTTAAACAGTTGGACTACTTTCTCACACAGTTTTTTGCAAAAAAAGGTGGAGACTCAGCATTTTACATATGTACCTTTTATACCCCGTTAATTATATGGTAATCAATTAAATTAATACCTCTTACCTGTTCACCTGTTTACCTGAGGAAAGTTTCACAACCAGAGCATGTCCTGACCTCCCTGGGGCCCTAAGCAAAATTCTACACAGGGGATCCCCTACTTAACCTATGAGCCATGTAAACCAATTGCAATTGCCACACAGTCACACCTGATACCGGAGTGCTCCACCTACAATCCTCCCTCCTTTAAAACAGTTTGCTCCACCTGTCAGTCTAAGACCTATACAGAACAGAATGAGATATAAACAAACAATATTTATTGAGAAGAAGAGTTTCTATAGAATCTTGACAAAAAAATACTATTAAGATTAACATAAATATTGACAAACGTAAGCAAAGCACCTAAACAACAAAGATAATACTATTATCAATTTTATCAGCTGCATCAGGCCCCTTCGAACTGATTTCTTTATATAAAATATTATTTATACTATGGCTTGGCTGAATACTTGATAGTTATTATTTACTGGGAGATGTGCATCCATCCCACTATGCCTGGCTAATCAATATTTTAACTTTAATCGACAGTCAGTGTCAATCCATTGCTTTCTATTTTGCATTAGTCCAAAGTTGTAACTAAATCTTAACTGAGACATTAGTATGTGTATTTATTGTCTGGACTGGACTGGTCTCCACAGAGAGGCTGTTAAAGACAATATTAATTAATGATAAAAACCTCTTTGCCTAGAGGACGAGGTTACAATGGTGCTCGCTGGCAAAATATCATGTGGACTGCTGGGCTAATGAGTCATACAGCCGTGACAAGACAGATTTGCTGCTGCCAAAATCCATTCACTTTTCACAGTTTTCCCTGAATTCTCTCTTACTCTTCTTCTCAATTCTATCGTTCTCTCTCAGGTTCACCTATGAGATTGCTCCTGTGTTTGTGCTGATGGAGCAGCTGACACTGAAGAAAATGAGAGAGATTATTGGCTGGCCTAACGGAGAGGGAGATGGACTTTTCTCACCAGGTAAAGTCACCTGTCTGAAACGCTGCACCTCACACAGAACCCCAAACCTGAAGGAAAAATAGTGCTCTGGATACATGCGCTAGTTTCTCATGAATAACATATATTACATCAAATAAGTTACGGCAGAAGACTGAAAGACAGTAATTGTTTATGCATTTCAATATAAGCATAAAATATATATAAATTTTGCACACAACTGTACATCCAAAAAATGTGAAATTTAAATGGCCGTACAAATGTACAATAACCCTATAGCTTGGTGTTGCTATACATGGGCAAAGGTGCTATGGGAGTAACTCCAGCAATGTAATTTCTAATATAAATTCTTCCACACAGGTGGCGCCATATCAAACATGTACAGTGTGATGATTGCTCGGTATAAGTATTTCCCTGAGGTCAAAACCAAAGGCATGTCAGCTGCACCACGTCTCATTCTTTTTACATCAGAACATGTAAGTAAACCTCCTCAATCAGCCCCTGCTTGTTTTTCCACTTGCAAACTATTGAGAAGCTGATGTTAAGAGCTAGCACTGCTGAATTCTGTCTAAATTTGCTCTATATTTCACACTGTAGACAGTCCACACTTTAATTATTCATGCACATCTACATAACCGTCATCAGTCAGGTAATATTTAGTGAATAATAAAATATTCCAGTGGTTAACAGTGTAATCTCTATCTGGCACATTTGTAGTGTACAGTCAGTGATCAGCAGATTTTCTGTTCTTTCATGAATTACAGATATTGTCCATGGTAATCATCAGTATGCGATTGAGATTAGGTTGAGAAATTCCAGGGTAATCATTTGAGGTTAATAATGGAATTCTAAGTTTAAGAGGTAAATCGTTTTCCATTTTCCATGTCGTTTTGCAATTTTTGTCCACTTTTTTTTAGAGCCACTATTCGATCACCAAAGCTGGAGCTGCTCTGGGCTTTGGTAAAGAAAACGTCATCCTGCTCAGCACAGATGAGAGGTAACAGAATAAGTACAGTACCTTGTTCTTTAACTCACTGGCCACTTTATGAGCTTGTGCTCCACCATATATGGACCATTCTACTGTACTGAATTATATAAGTATTGTAATATTTACAAGGTTACAAGATATTTACAAGGATTATGTTATGATCTAGTTAAACCCAAGGAAGGCATTAACTGAGATAGATAGTGATAGGCTAAATATATACAAAATCATAATTTATAGGGTTCTGTCCACTGGAATGTATCTGTCCCAAACCCTAACCCCTAAATTCCAACTTGTAAAAATAATACTTAATACTTAATAATAAGACATGTGTCTTTGCTGGTATGGCTGATTTGATCTATTGTGTTTTAGAGGACGGGTCATACCTGCTGACCTGGAGGCCAAGATCATCGATGCTAAACAGAAGGTGAGCTTCAGACACAAACTCTCAGATTCCTGTCTGACTGTAAAGCAACTGAAGGCCCAGAATCTGTCCATTGTAAAGAAATCAGTCCTGAGAGCAGTTTGTTGTGAGTGAGCGAGGTTATGGCTCACTCTAATGGAGCTCAGGGGATCAATAAAGCAGCATAATGGGCCCGTCTTAAACTGAGGGATGGATTAGCACTCAGTAACCTAGCTTCATTCACTACATCAATAAAGTGCCATACTAGTCTAATAAATGAGCCCTTAACCCAGTGGTCCACAAGTGCATATTATGCCCAACATGTGCTTATTATGCCCACATTTTTTAGGAAAAGAAAAAATATTCAGTTCATATTTTAAATACTATAAATAATGGAATTCAAAAAGTAATCATATTGAACATGACGAGTTTGCACCTTACCATACAGTGTCCTCAAAGCTAAAGCTTTAGCATTAGCTAGACATCAGTCACTTTGTGAGTTAGCTAAGTTGGTTCTAGTAGTCTTAACCAATAGTTGATAGCACTATGTGCTAAAAGCAGCAAAAGAGGCTCATAAAAGTGCTGTTTTCAACAATTATGTCTGAAAACACCTGGCAAATACTCATAATAGTCGGCATGTTTAAAATCCAGTCTTAGATAAAATAAACAGATAATAGGCTATTAAAGAGTATTAGAATATCAGTTAATGATAACTAGGTTGAGGTTAGGCCTGCTGGACTAGGATTATGCAGACCCTTCCCTTTACCCACTTACAAAGCAGGCTACTCGGTTACATACTACGATTAATATTTACATATTAAAAATTAGGTGATTCCCATTGTTATTGTGGATTTGTGATAGCAGACTCTGGAGTTCAGCTATAGATGCTGTTGGAAAACCATGTAGTATTATATTTTCACAGTTTTCATAATTTAACTAATCTAAACCACTGGAACACTTTACTGTAGCCTAGCAGCTCTTAAAGACCCCATAATAGCCCCATGTTTTAACAGTAAAAGTGTATAAAACATTATGTGTACATATTACTTAATATTATTTGTTACCTTTTTCTGATCCTGATTCCTGGCTGTAGAGGGGATGAGAGGAACTTTCTACTTCTAAAATTTCCAAGGTAGCTAGCTGCTCTAGAGTAACACCCAGCCACTTAATTATTTTATTGCAGAGAATCACACTGAAGCAAGTTGAAGTTCTAATGCACTTCAGCATTTATTTTCAGTTCCATGTACTCAAGCTAAACTTAACGTAAAGAAAAATAAGTAAAAGGGGGGAGCCATGAGGTAGGTAAAACTAGCATTACAATGCAAGTAGAGGTAGCAGAGAGAATTAACAGGCAGCTTCTTAACAAGCCTCTCTTTCTCTTGTAAACAGAAAAAATCTGACTTTTTGTGGGGCATGTGACTGCACACTTCTTAAAGGAACATTTATATAAAGGAACATATTTCCCAACATATTTAGCAAGCTATTTAATGGCGAATTAGTGCTCTCTATTTCTCTGTCAGTTTCCCAACACAATGATTATCGTCTTATAAGCATCATCAATGAATTACATGTCAGTTACTGATGATATTCAATTACATGGCCCTGTTGCCCAGGCCTAATCCAAATACAGCAGGAGTGCACTGACATGACTCATGTTACTTATGTCATGAAATTGCAACACAGATCTGCCAAAATAAAAACAATAAATTGGCCAATTGCAGATTTTGTGTTTCAAGAAAAAATTAGCCATTTCCATCCCAATCGCTAATTCAGTACTACATATCATACTACACAATATTTAATAGTTATTATAAAGCTAATGAAGCTTATGAAGTTCTGTAGTTATGCACCCTTATAGTTTCACTAGGATTCACTTAGCCAAGCCAATTTATTGGCACCCACATCAGTTTATATGTTCTGATTTTTTTTGTGTGTGTGCTCTATAGGGTTATGTGCCGCTCTTTGTGAACGCAACAGCCGGTACCACAGTATATGGAGCGTTTGACCCTATCAATGACATTGCCGATATCTGCGAGAAGTACAACCTCTGGCTGCACGTGGATGTAAGTGTTTTTTTAGATACTCATTAATGAAAAATGCAGCATAATGTATTAAAGTGATAGCTTATTAAGAAATCAGAGTTATACAATTCTGTCCTTACTCTAAATGTAGTTGATCAACCAAGATAAAGACATGTTTGAGGTTTGCATCTTTAGCGTTGTACGGGAGCTATTAGGCTAATAAGTAATGGAAGCTTTGATATGATTTATTCTATCAGACTGGTTCAATGTCAGCGGTGAAAACACATTCTAGACTTTTTTCTAACTTACATTTTAGACTAAAATCCTTTTACTTTGAGTGACCCTATACCTTAATTATGTTTATTTTATTAAAGCAAATGATTGAACATTCCACTTGGTCTGTATGAAAACAAAAATGTAACTACCAGAATTTTACCAAATGTTTTGGTAGAGACTGTTTTAGTGACAGTCGTAGTTAATTTTGACCATTAACTCAAAAATGCTAGATCATACATGACTAGAAAACACAGCTTTAAAAGTATTTGAACAGTTGTACACACATAAATTCATAATATTTCTCATAAAAACACAGAAAATGTTATACTTAATTGCAGAAAATGTGTGTTTCAGTACTGACAATTCTTAATGTGACACACTGATTTTTAGACATCTGTTTCAAAACAATGGGATCTAACTTTTTACCATGTGACCATGATGGACAGGAATGCAGTCTCACTTACTGCTCTAAAATGCAGGGGTGTGGCTAAATTAAGACTTTGCCTATGGACTAAAACTCTTTGTGTTTAAGTAGTTACATGAAAAAGTGGGACAGCATTTGTTGAATTTTTTTTTTATTTATTTATTTTACCATTTTGAAACAATTTTTGATTTTAATACACAAAAATCAGAAAGTATAACTAGCGTTATCGCTTGTGTCTTTGTGCGTATCTGTCTGACTGTGCATGGTGTGTATCTTTAGGGTGCATGGGGCGGTGGCCTGTTGATGTCAAGGAAACATCGTCACAAGCTGAGTGGCGTTGAGAGGTAGAGTGTGCTGTAGACTTTAACTGTAATCACCAGTGATTGACTACATGTGCATATATGAGCTGAGGAGCTGAGGTAATGACACCGTTTAAAGATACAGTGATTCTTATCGACTCTTACAGAGCAAACTCAGTCACATGGAACCCACACAAGATGATGGGCGTCCCGCTCCAGTGTTCGGCCATTCTGGTCAGAGAGAAGGTAAGAGTTACATGATTTCATTTGAATTTATCTTGATGGTGGTTTTCTATTCAGTTACTGCTTCAGTAAGGCAAATCCTATATATATATATATATATATATATATATATATATCCTTTTTTAGATCTTTGTATTGCCTTGTCCTAAAAGTCAGCTCAGCTGGTGATCTGTGTTTTCTCAGGGCATTCTGCAGGGCTGTAACTCCATGTGTGCCGGATACCTGTTCCAGCCAGATAAACAGTACGATGTTACGTACGACACTGGAGATAAAGCCATCCAGTGTGGCCGACATGTGGACATCTTCAAATTCTGGCTCATGTGGAAAGCCAAGGTGGGATACAGTGATTGTTTCTAACCTGCTTTACATTTACAGTTTCTAACCTGTTATGGTGCTGCAGTTCTAGCCATTCCTGCTCTTAAATAGACTCACTTTTAAAATTTGAACCAAATTGAAGATCTTTGTTGTGCCATTGTACTTAATAAAATTCTATTGTTTTCTACCCTTAATCCTTATATATAAATAAGCAGAGACAAGTGCAGCTGATAACATATTCTGCTTAATTTGTGAAAGTTTAGGCAACTGGCAGTCAGATTTGAGTTTAATTTTCTGCCTTTTAAAACTAAATGTAAATTTGTGGTAATGTCTCAAAGGCATGTTGTTAAGAAACTTTCTTTAAGATTAACAGCAGACACAGTGGCCTAACAGAGGCATGAGCTCATATTTATCAATAGAATAACATTATTTCAGCTCTCAGAATCAGATGTACATGAGTTAGAAGATGCAGCGTCAAATATGCGCTCACAGTCCATGTTATTGTTTCACAAATACTGTTTTGTGAAGCAATAACATACAGAATGTTTTGGTGAAAACAAAGGGAAATGGCTGATAGGCTCCACCAATTTTTCACAATTTCTGCATTATTTAACTCAAAGCCAGTATTTATTTATTTATTATTTATTCTCAGAGCCAGTCTAAATGCACATGTGCACTGTGTGTCTTGCTTTTTTGTATCGCTAGTGTGTGTAAGTGATACTAATACTTGTTGATAATTCACACACAGGGTACAGTGGGGTTTGAGCAGCACATAGACAGATGCCTGGAGCTTTCCGAATATCTGTACAACAAAATCAAAAATCGCCCAGGTTATGAAATGGTCTTCCAAGGAGAGGTAATGTATATAAACATGCACATCCTGTTTTTATCTTTCCATCTTTAAACCTATTTCTATTATTCTAAATGGGGTGTAATGTACTATAGGCCTGGGGTCACAAATCTCATCCAGAAAGGGCTGGTGTGGCTTCAGGTTTTCATTCTAGCCGAGCAGCAGCACACCTGATTCCACCTGTTTAATCAGGTGCTCTCAGTTTTCCAACAACTGATTAGTTATATGAGCAAGGTGCAAAATATAGGGGGTCATAAGAGATCTGGGATTTAAGTTAGCAGCCAGCCAATGCTGGAGTAGCCAGCTAGCAGGGACCCCCAAATAGCAAGGGCTGACTTTGCACTAGGCAAAAGTAGACAGCTGCCTAGGGCCCCCATGAGCCATGGGCCCCATGAACATACAAATTACATATACTATATGCTTTAATGTTAAATAACCTACAACATTTTAAAAGTAGATGTTATTTGCAATTGCAGCGATTATTTATTAGTAATTGCAATGCAGACACACCCATAGTTATAATAGATTGTTCCATGTTGTTGCGTGGTGACACAACTCTCTAAAGACAGACTGGTATGAACAAGACATTAATAAGCCATAAATAAGCCAAATTTTCTCCCAATGTTGTGAAATAATTTCACTTAATATAATTGCTTAAGCAAAGAATGTCTAGAAATAGTTAAATCATCTCAGAATATTTTTACAGCAAATGCAAAATGAGAAATATTGGATGTATCAACTTTATTTAAGATGATTTCACTTGCCAACACAACATTTTTGCAGTGTAGATGGCTGGGCAACTTGGGAGTTCAGAGTCCCAACTAATTTAAAAATGTACATCCAGGGGGCCCCATTCCCATCTTTGAGCCCCAGAATCACTCAGTCTGCCTCTGCTGAATACAGTGTTTCACACGCTGTAAATGAGTGTACTCCTGCTTGGTTTGAATGAAAACCTGCGGCCCCACTGGCATTTTGCGAATAACACTGGTGCCCCCTGCTGGGGATTATGCTGTTTCAAACTCTGTGGCCTCTTTCCATTTGTTTTCTCCTTCTCTTCACTGCACCTCTCTTGCTCTCTCTTTCTGTTTCTTTTCCATTCCTTTACACTCTCTGTGTTGTACTCTTGTCTTTCTCTTTTTACTATAACACATTATTTTTTTCTACCGGCCTCTCTCTTACTCTCTGTTTCTTTTATGCTATTACAATCTCCGTCCTTTTCTTTTTACTTCTTTTGGCCACATCTCTTTTTCTTTACCACTCTGTTAATCTCCCTCATTCTCTATTGTTCTTGTTCTCTTTCTACTCCATTTCTCTGTGTTTACCACTCTCTTTGAACTCTCCCCTCCTTTCTTCTCTCTTTCTCTGTCTCTAGCCTCAGCACACTAATGTCTGCTTTTGGTACATTCCACCGAGTATGAGGAACATGCCAGATGGAGAGGAGCGAAGAGAGAGACTGCACAAGGTAATGTACCAGCCCATAATAAACAATAACAAACCATATTAGAGTTTAAAGGGCTCATATGGAAAACTTTCTCTCCTGTAATGTAGTAACATTGTTAAAGCTTCAAAAATGTACCATTCACTTCCCAGTCTATACAGTCCATATGTATAAACTAAGCTGCAAAAACAGCCTGTTTTGAAATCACTGTTTTTGTGATGTCGTGAAAATCAGCATATTAATATATATCTACCTATTCAACCTAAAGCAGTTTAGCCCCACCCATTCACACTGAAGTTATACATAGTGTTTCAGCCCAAGCTGATTTTTTGAATGAGATACAGTACAGGGGTTGCAATGAGAAGGGAGCTCATTTACATATATTGATCTTAAAGGCATAGCACCAAAAACAGCCTGTTTAATTTTAAGGCACAGGTTCTTCTGGTGAAATCGTTTTTCAGATTGATGGTGCATGTGCTGTATATGATTCTGTATAGAATCTTTTTTGAAAAGGGTTCTTCTATTGTTACAATGTCAGGCTTGTTACAATAGAAGAACCCTTTTTGGTGCTATATAGATCCCTTTTCAGAAAGGTTCTGTATAGAACCATTTACACATTCTTCATAAATCTGAAGAACTCTTTCACAATGCAAAGAACCATTTAATCATGTAAAGCATTCTTTGAGTGTTCATGGTTCTAAATAGAACCATGCTCTAATACATGCTCAAATAAATTAATCAGCTAATGAACAAATCTAGTGGAGAACAAGGTTGCTCCAGGACTACAGTTCTATACAAATATAGCTGAACTGAATTCCATTGAATTGAACTTTTCCCCCTCCAGGTGGCACCAAAGATAAAAGCAATGATGATGGAGTCTGGCACCACCATGGTGGGCTACCAGCCACAGGGAGACAAAGTCAACTTCTTCCGAATGGTGATCTCCAACCACGCCGCCACCAGGTCCGACATTGATTTCCTAATCGATGAAATTGAGAGGCTGGGACATGACCTGTGATTGTGCCCTCACCTGGAAAGAGGAAGATACTGCAGCACCATTTTCCACCTAATGAGTCAAAACGTGTGTAACGTCTGATGATATTGTGTTTAGCTGTAGTGTGTTTATCCGTTATTTTCTGTCCCATCAGTAGTAATTTCCTTCATTGTGCTGTTGGATTTTTAGCGTGTACAGAAAATTCTCTTCACACAAAGCCCACCAGTAATTGACTTCTCCATGCTCTGCCCACTAATGCGTTTTTACTAGTGAGTGTTGCCAGGTTGGTCAAGATTTAGAGAACACTAACAGATTTCCTCTTCAACCTAATGAGAAAGCCAGTGAACCTTCTGTTTAGCATTTTCAACAGATGTTTATCCCTAAAAGTCTTAGTTACACTACAAAAAACTACACACAGTCTGTCGTAAGAGCATGACCTTTCATACACATGCAAAATGAACATTAAAAGTAATAATGCTGAACAAACTTACATATTTTGACAAAAACAAATTGTGTGCTGAAGGTTCTCATTAGATTAAATGGTATTTTTGCCAACATTATGCAAACCTGTTTAGCCTAGCAACTGTAGCTATAAAAGAATCCCAAACATGGATAGGTCAATTACAGTGCTGTGTTTTAATGCCATGCCATTCAGATATATATATATATATATATATATATATATATATATATATATATATATATATATATATATATATATACACTAAAGCATATATACAAAGCTATATATTATGATATACGTAAGACATTTATGGTGCTTTAGTTGTAAATACACCACTAAGACAAGCAAGGCGCGCCACCCTTTTAATAAAGTCCGAATTCCTCCCTGTGTATATGTGGGGTTTGTGGTTGTGCTAAGATCCACATTCCAGCGTTGTGTTTTTAGAACTTACCTTGTTGTAGGTCCTGTAAAAAAACAGTGTTTAAATCAGCACCTTTGTGAGGTGAAAACGTCTTTAATTTCCAGTCGAAATGCTCTATGACAATGGCATAAGTATATAAACGAAAACCTTTATTTATGTTGTGACACACAGAGTGTTTAAGAATGCAGTATTTATTTTATTTGTAATGCATCTTATTGGTATTCAAAACACATTTTATGTAATCAAACACATTTGTGGTCTAATAGTGAATTTGTGAGCCAAAGACAGAGAACTATTGTCGCACATGTTACACTGAACACTTTCTATTATAGTATTCTTTGAGATAAGCTGGTACATAAAGTATATAAAAACACTTCTATATAAATATATATGACATATATTTACTGTGAGTATGTGTGTGTATTGTTCAGGCCCTTGACCTCAGTGCAATCAGTGTGTTGTGAATCTGTGATGTTGTGTGTAACTTTGACTGAATGTTTTAAAGCAATTGCATCAATTAACAGTGTGAAATGAATAATTTTTCTGTAAATGATAACTGGTTATCAATGCAAGCTATTTAAATCTCTGCCACTTCTCCATGTAGAAAAAAAGCACAAATTAGAAGAAAGGCAGGGAAATATGATCTTTAGGAAAGGTTGTGTTAAAGTGACTAAATTAAACGTAGTAATGTTTTATTATTGTATATAAAACTTCTACACAGCAACTGTGAAATTCTGCACCATTTGAATCCTTACTGTTGGTTTGCACAGTGTCTTTCTCTTTACTGTTTAATACTGTTATCAGGATGAAACGGCTTCCGTAGTGCTCAGTGGAGCACAGAGCTTAATTTTGTGTCGTTGCGACTTTTTGAATGGACAGACTGTAAATGGTGAATGAATGTGGGGAGAGAAACGCTCCTGGCGAAGGTCGGCACTTTAACATGCAAAACATGCCATGTCAACACTGTTACTGTCAACTGTACAGTGCAAATAAAGTATTAAAACAAACCCATCATAACTCTGTTTGTACCTTATTTTCACTTTATTTTCTTACTAGAATATTATTATTTTATATTATATTATGAATTACACAGTCTTTGTGAAGATTGGGTTTTATTAAAAGCCCACCTATTGAATGTTTTCTAGCAAGCTAGGTACTGCATTTTACCTACACACTTAAAAACACACGTTTTATGCTTTCCCAGCTAGCAGGGAACATTCCCACTACTTTGGCTAACGTTACCTACAAGTGCTAATAAAGTTTTAAGGAAAACCTTTTGATCTAATGTTCAAAGAACACTTTAAGGATGTTTCTCATTTCAAATAATATTCCTTAAATGTTGACTAAGACATAACGTTTTTAACTGCAACATTCAGAGGACGTTTTGAGGATGTTGTCAGGACCACAGATTATGTTACATGATAACAAAGGAAGAACATTCTCAGTGCAACATTTGGAAATGGTGGCCTGAGATGGCAGAATGTTTTTTATAAAACGTTCCTGTAATGTCATATTTTAACAAAGGTAAAACGTTTTGCCCTAAACTTTCTGGGGATGTTTTGGGCATGTTGTTGAGGTAACACATTAAAGAATGTTCTTTTATAAAACATTTGCTCAGCGTTACATGAAAACAATCAAAGAATATTCTCACCACAACATTCCAAAAATGTTTTCTGGATGTTATCGAGGCCTGAGAAGGCAGAATATTTTTTATAAAATGTTCCTGTGATGTGATATGTTAACAAAGGTAAAATGATTTTCCCTAAACATTCTGGGGATGTTTTGGGGATGTTGTTGAGGCAACACATAATAGAATGTTCTTTTATAAACATGATGAAATGGCTCTTCAGATTGCTGGATAATGTGTTGTATGTGATTCTGTATAGGACCATTTTGAAAAGGGTTCTATATAACACTAAAAATTATCCTTCCATTGTTATACGCTTGACATTGTAACAACAGAAGAACCATTTTTGGTGCTACATAGAACTGTATACAACACATTCTCCATCAATCTGAAGAACCATTTCACCATGCAAAGAACCATTTCTACAAGTAAATGTTTTTATATAGAACGCATGGTTCTATACCTTACTAAAGAATGCTTGAAGAACCAACTAAAAGTGTGTACAGTCATGCCAAATGAACATTTGAGTTGTGTCTCTCAACATTCACTCAGCCCTGTTACCTGACCACATTCACTCCAATGATGCATCTAGAATATTCTGGAGGTCACATATTTAACAGGAAATCGCATCATCTGAACTTCCTGAAGATCAAACCAGCAAGAAATTATTTTTTCTCATTCTTTTATTTTCTTTTCAATGATGTTGTGATGGTGACAGACAAGGTTGAGTAAGTCTGAGTTAGAGCGAACTGTTGGAGTAAGTTCACTTCATGTGCGGTGTAGCTGGGGCCAACTTCAGCCTGTTAATAATACACAGTAATTTGTGAATAAGCTTTGTCTTCTTCCGTTGTGGTAAATGATACAATACATACACCTGATTTAGCCACAGAAGGACTTGATAATCAACTTATGATGTAATTTAGCAGTAAACATGAAGCTGAACAAAACTGATTATCATTTAAATAAATAAATAAATAAATCTGTGCTTCTTCTGTATGGGAACAAATATTATGAAAAAACAAAAAATAAATAAAGCATGATGCTGTGCAGTGCAGGTGGACCACAAAACTGGAGCTGGGAAAAAAACTGACCTAGGTAGACTGCAAAAGGTCAACTCAAGGTGATGCCAAGAGACCAAGAGACAAAACAGATCCATTGTTCTGTGACCAGAATAGAACAATCATTTTATTGACTGAATGCCTCCAGCAAACAGATGTACATGGAATTACATACTTATTGTTGAGGATCTATCTGTCCTGCATGATTAGTAGGAATCAGATGAAAGCAGGCCTCTACATGCCAGTTTTATCACATTTTTCTTGTCAGACAAATACAAATCTGGCTTAACGTAACATGACCAAATTAGATCAAATTCTGTACATAATACTGAACAACTTCTAGAACTCTAGCAGCATATGGTTCTGTTACTAATAGTAATCCAGGTCTTACCAGACAACCAAGGGACAATTACTTGTTTTTTTTGGTAAAACATTCATAATGTCAGAGAAATGCATAAGTAAACACATGAAAAATTCCTTTGCAGACCAGATAAAACAGTTTCCTTTTATCACAGTACAAAGATATGAAGCGATCTTTTATTATTAAATGAATTTTGAAAAGTAATAGAGTGCAGTTTGTCTTTAAGTTTATTTATTTATTGTTGTTTGTTTATTATTATTGTCTTTCTATCTTTCTTTCTTTCTTTCTTTCTTTCTTTCTTTCTTTTTTTTAAGGGTCAATGGTGCCTTCACAGATGTGCCAGTCACCCATGCAATGTGCACTTATGCACCCCTATACCATCACAGATACTAGCTTTTGAACTGTGCACTGATAACAAGTCAGGTGGTCTTTAGCCCAGAAGATGCAGTGTCCATGATTTCCAAAAAGAATTAGAAATGTTGATTCATCAGACCACAGGACACTTTTCCACTTCACCTCAGTCCACCTTAAATGAGCTCGGGCCCAGAGAAGGCAGTGGGTTTCTGGATCCTGTTTATATATGCTTTCCTCTTTGCATAATAGAGTTTTAACTCACATTTATGGATGCAGCACTGAACTGTTTTCATAGACAGTGGTTTTCAGAAGTGTTTCTGAGCCCATGCAGTGATTTCCACTGCAGAATTGTGTTTGTTTTTAATGCAGTGCCACTTGAAGACCCAAAGATCATGGCCAGCCAATATTGATTTTTGGCCTTGTCCCTTGCATATAGAGATTTCTTCAGATTCTTCAAATCTTTTAGTGATGTTATGCTCTACAGATGATGAATGCCCAAGTTCTTTTAAGTTGAGAAACATTATTCTAGAATTGTTGCACTATTTGTCTGCGCAGTCTTTCACCGAGTGGTGAACCCCTAATCATCTTTACTTCTGAAAGACCCAGACATTCTAGGATGCTCTTTTTATACTTAATCATCTTACTGATCTGTTGCCAATTATCCTAATTAGTTGTAAGATGTTCCACCAGGTGTTTTAGCATTACACAACTTTACCAGTCTTTTGTTGCTCCTGTTCCAACCTTTTTCAAAATGGGAATATATTTTTCAAAAAGCAATAAAATCTCTCAGTTTTAACATTTAATTTGTTCTCTTTGTACTATTTTCAATTAAATATAGAGTTGAAGTGATTTGCACATCATTGCACATTAATTCTGTTTTTATTTACATTTTGCACAGAGACCCAAACTTTTTGGAAAAAGGTTTGTAAAAGAAGCATTAGCTTTATATCCTATAAAAAATATATATTTTTTTCCGATTAAAAAAAAATACATAAATACAGATTCTTTTAAACTTAAAAATAAATATGCAGTAAGAATGTCCTAAAATTATATGGTACAATTTATAAATGTACACATTAATTACATGTACAGAAATGTCTATGTATGTAAGTTGTGGTTTATTTTTTTTCTAAATACTGAATACTTCTTCTGTTGATGCCACGATGGTCTCAATGGTGTATGAATGCCGTTATCATTAGCTTTCCGCTGTTCTCCAAAAACGTTACCACCAGAAGGGGGCAGCACTTCATTTGTGTCTATAAACCACAGTAGCGATGACGTTTTTAGAAATCACAGTTATACATCCATCTCCTCCAGTCGAACGAGAGCCCCATAATAATATTGTGCCAGGAATAAATTATCGGGATTAAAAAATAAATGAACAAATAAATAAATTAACCGGTTAATTTTCTCCATGCTGCCACGTCACACGGAGCGAACTGCGCATGCGCCAACTTGCAGCTCAACCGACGTGTTAACGCTGAGTGTCGATTCAGTGTAACGCACCGGTTCTTTCGAACTGTCTGATTCAACGAATCGAACATGTGATTCGGTGAATAAATGATTCACAAATTAAATAGAATAGATAAATGCTCAATAGATTTTGTATTATTGAATTGAAGAATGCTTCACCAACATATTTTTTTATTCCAGCAACCAGCAATGAGATAAAGCTAAACACAGAATAAAGACAAAGCTGATCTCAGATAATTTAATGTAATATATGGTATTGCTATACATTTTATGAAGCTACATTGGGACATTATCTGTTGTTAAAATGTATATACACATAAAACTTTGAACAACTATTTTTTTTTAATTCAACTAAATATTTTCAGCGTTGCTAAATTGCTCTCTTTCCTCTACCTTTGTGTACATATGCTTTGTTTCTCTTTATTCGGTGGTAAACACAACTTAGGTTTGAGAAAGACACTGTATAATATAAAACATAAAGATTAACCATCATAAACACTATTCTTCTTCTTACGAGTCGTCTTCGTAGCACATTCTCTGGACTTGTGATTCGGTTCGACCGAACCATTGAAATGAAGCGGCGCTAATGAACCGATTCGTTAATGATTCAGGCATTGCTACTACCGACGTGTCGCTCCGGTTCGGGTCGGACAGTTCACGGTTCTCGGTATGGGGGGCTCTCAGAGCGTGGAGATCCCCGGTGGGGGCTCGGAGGGCTACCACGTACTCCGGGTAGGATTTTAACACTTGACGGGCTTTTTAACGTGTGTAAATCCGGAGCTGTAGCTGGCCGACCGGGCCGCGCCAGAGCAACCTGCGGCCGCGTTTGAGCTTACCAGCGGCGGCTAAACGACGAAATCGAGTCCGAAGCTTTAGCACCGCGGCCTGGATGCTAACGCGGCTAAAAGCAGTCTTTTTCCAAACAAATCTGTGCGTTTTGGTTTAAAACGGAGTTATGGTGTAATTAGACGCTTCACAAACTGTATAAATGGAATAAGTAGTCTCGGTTTAATAAAGCAGAACATGGAGTCTGGAGTCATGTGCTGCTAACGCTACAGTTTAGCTCCGTGCTCTCGGACACTGATTGATGTGATGCATTACTCAGAGTGCTGTTGCTTCGGAATCGTGTAAAGCTAGGCATGAACTAAAAAGTGTGTTAAATGTTCGTTTTGGCGAGATTTAGCTTCCATGTATTAACGAGTCTTTAGTTTAGAGAGCGTGATTAGGCTTTGCTGGAGGTATTGGTTAAATTTGGTCAAGCCAGTTTTTGTCCTGAGGGCTAAAGTATTTAAATCTAATCCTCAATTCCAAATATATCTCTAGTATTTGTAATTATGTGTAGTCAATTGAATCGTTAATGTACCTGTTTGGCTACACACCTGACTCCCAGGTAGGGGAGGGTGTTACATCAGTAGTAACCCGGACCTGCAGGGCAGTTGTTTAAATACTTCTGGTAAAGGGTGTGTAACCTCATAGCTGCAAATCTTCAGTCTGGGTATTGGATGTGTTTAATCAGAAGTGGTAGAGATATTTTAAATGATTTGTTTTGTTTGAATTAAATGTATTTTGAAGCTGCTGTATATTCCTTACAGCTCCATAATTGCAGAGTAAATTAAATCAGAATGTGTCTTTAGTCTAACTGGAGTTGTGTGTCTGTGGTGCAGGTACAGGAGAACTCCCCTGGACACCGGGCGGGACTGGAGCCTTTCTTTGACTTCATTGTGTCCATCAATAATACCAGACTGGTATGTTGACTGCACTCACACCCAACTGTCAAGCCCCTATCAGTCACTAATCTTTAGTAAAACCTCAGCTTTTCTTTGGCTCTTGCAGTAAGAGGTAGACATACTGCTTGAAGGAGTTAAAGTCTGAATCTACATATTTGGTTGAGCTACACCTTTTAATGGACATGTAAAAGGGCTTAAGGGCCAGTTTCCTGAATATGGATTAAAAATAGTCTTGGGTTAAATCTCAATACTAATGATAAATCACCACTGGAATCTTTTTAGTCTTGGATTAGTCTTAATCTGGGTCTGAGAAATTGACTGACTAACTTTTGAATTTATATCTTAGAACAAGGACAATGACACCCTAAAAGACTTGCTGAAGGCTAACGTGGAGAAGCCGGTGAAGATGCTGGTGTACAGCAGTAAGACCCTGGAGCTGCGGGAATCCACAGTTACTCCGAGCAATATGTGGGGCGGCCAAGGCCTTCTTGGAGTCAGCATCCGTTTCTGCAGCTTTGAGGGGGCCAATGAGAATGTTTGGCATGTACTGGTGAGTATGTGATAGATTATCTTTCTGTTTCTTTGAAGCACCTTGAAGGGATATTTCAGAAGAAAGTCTACTTTGCACAATTTTCCCCCTTACCCCAAATGTAGTCGAACAGCCAGAACATGTTTGGTAATAATGGAGAGCAGTAGCTGCCATTTGAAGTCTCAAAACCACACAAGCAAGTCTGTTAGGGATTACTCAACCACTCAACATATTTTTTATCCAATATGATTTTGGCACGCAGTTAAGATGATGCTAATTGGTGGTATACGTTTCCATTACTTGTTAGCTACGTTAGGCTCATAGCACAGTAGAGACACCAAACATGTCTTGTCTGATAACCTACATAATGAAGAAGGAAAATTGTGTCAATTTTTTGGTTTAAATTGTTTAAAGCAAGCATGGTAATCTTGGGTTGAGCATTTCAGAGAGTGGTGCATGAGTTAATTGGACTAAAAACCAGTTTGTCAGGCCATCAAATCAACAAAGACAGGGTTTAAAAAAAACCTGTCTATTCTTGAAACCAGCTCTGTTGTCTTAGACCACGTTTACATTCTCTTTATCTGTCTTTCTCTGTCTTGTAGGAAGTTGAGCCGAATTCTCCAGCCGCCCTCGCAGGACTGAGGCCGTACACAGACTACATCATCGGGGCAGACACTGTTATGAATGAGGTAATTCAGTTTTTTCTCCCTCTTAAATTGTATTTCTCTGTTGCATAGAGAAAAACCAAAAGCTATCTTTGAAAGTTGCATATAGATTTTATTTTCTCATTACAAATAAACAAGTAACAGGTATTAACTGTGCCTAACTGAAGTGTGTCTCTTTTCTCCCTATAGTCAGAGGACTTGTTCTCGTTGATAGAAACCCATGAGGGCAAAGGACTGAAACTCTACGTTTACAACACAGACACTGACAGCTGCAGAGAAGTTGTTATAACTCCCAACAGCGCCTGGGGAGGAGAGGGCAGGTGGGTGTCTGACTTCGACACTCTAGGTGTTCTTGTGTTCATGTTTGGTTGTGTGTACATTGCAGTGTTTTTTGTGTGTCTTTCCAGTTTGGGCTGTGGTATTGGTTATGGTTACCTGCACAGGATCCCTACGCGGCCTTTTGAGGAGGGAAAGAAGATCAGCTTCCCTGGACGCGCTCCCAGTGAACCAGCCAGCCCACTGAAGGATGGCTTCACTGAGGTATTATATAATTTTTTATATATAATCTCATCAGGTAAACAGATGATTACAGATTGTAGTCCATCTGTTTCTCTGCAGAATTTGTTTGTCTGTGTTGCACTGGTAGAAGTGTATTGGACACAGCAGTGCTGCTGGATTATCTAAAAACTGTGTATGCTTAATGTCCACTTAGAACTGGACATTAAGAAAATCTAAAAATAATTAGCATGATATTTTCTATTTAAAGAATTGGTATCAATTATATTTCCCCCTCCGAACAAACCAGTACACGCTGTCTACTGCAGCTTTGACCTACTTTCAATTGTGGTTTTTAGTTTATATGCTTTTTTTTGAAGGTTTAATGAAAGTCTTTAATAAAACCATATATTAATTTTTTAATCAACATCATTAGAAAACTGTCACCTGTCAATTTAATAGATGTTACTGCAAACATGCATTCATTAACTTCTTCTGGTGTAGATTCATGACGACTGTTGTGCTAGTATTGTGCCCCCTGCTGGAGAAACCTCAGGCTGCATTTCTGATTTCTAAAGCCGTGCAAACATGCTCTACATAAAAAAGAGCAGAGTCATTTTATTCAGCTATTGATTATGCGAGTACTTTCTTAGACAGTAAATCAGACTCTGGAAAATGCACAGCAGAGACAGTGGAAAATTTACTCTACTTAAGCCTAATGGCTTTTTAAGGCCCCATAATAACCCCATGTTTTGACAATGAAAGTAAATAAAACATTGTGTACATATTGTGTAATGTTATTTGTTACCGTTTTGTGATACTGTTTTCTGGCTGTAGACGAGGATCATAGTAGCTTTGTACTTTTAAAAGTTCCAGGGTAGAGCTAGCTGCTTCAGGGTAATACCTGGTGACTTTAGCTTACTTGGTTTACTGCAGTGAGTGATGTTGGTATTTATTTTCTGTTACATGCACTCAAGCTAAACTTAACGTAAGGTAAAAAGAAGAGAAGAAGAGCCATGGGGTAGCTAAACTAACAGGCAGCTTCTTAACAAGCTTCTCTCTATCTCTCTCTCGCTCTCTCTTTTTCTCTCGTTCTCACTTTTGTAAATGACACATTTCTTAAAAGAATGTGAACCACAGTTTCACAGCATATTTAGCAAGGTGTTTAACAGTAAATTAGTCTTGTCTAGTTGTGCGTCAGTTTCCCATCATCGTCTTGTCACTTTTTACGTATTGGATTACGTGTCAGTTGCATTATCATCTTGTTAGATGTAAAGTTACAGACAATAGGTCATCTGTTGCTGTGGAGTTTGTGTTTGTCATCCTCTGGTCCTTCATCGGGTAATTTTCTGGCCATAGGATGCTGTTTGCTGGAAGTTTTTGGTTGGTGGACTATACGTAACTCAGTACTGACATTGTTATGAATTTAAATAATGGAAATGTTTAGCCAGCTTTATTCTGTAGGTCATTCTTTGAGACCAAAAAAGTTGTCTTTGGGACTAAAACTTTGTTTTTACAGATCCACACTCACTGTAAATTGATTTTTGGTTCAGGTTCAGCTTTCTGCAGTAACCCCGTCTCCAGTCTCGCAGCCTGCACCCACTGGACTTGAGGATAGCCTCTCCAGCCTATCACTCAGCTCAGCTGCTCCATCCATACCTGCTGAGCTACACACAGGTACTGCCTCGTCTGGGCTTTTAATCACACATACATGGTTACTGTATGTACACATTGTGGTCATTCTGATTGCTTTTGCTTTATTGCATTATAAAAGAAAAAAAAAATCTGATGAAATTCTCAAATTGAATAACAGTTAGTTATTAGAATTCATTATAGAAATAATTGTTAGTTGCAGCGTTAAGTTACATTTTGAAATGTACATTGCATGACACCCACTATGATATATTTCAAAGGCCTTTTGCCTAAGCTCACTTTGCTCATGATTCATCATAACCACACATTTTGATATGAGCATGGCTTCTGTGTTGTTTCAGGTGTGCCCACAGTCCCCTTGCTGCCCACTCAGGTCACTCCTGCCCTGGGCACTCTACCTTCGGTCAACCCCAGCACTACGCTACCAGGTAACAAACGCACATCCCATCATTCTGAGATCCCCTACTTACTGTAATAAGCGGTCACACACAGTGGATACAGTGGATTCTCATTTGGAATCTTCAGGTAAACCTTGTTTTTTGTTTCAGGGCTAATGCCGTTGCCTGCTGGCCTTCCTCCACTGCCCAACCTTCCTAACCTTCCTAACCTCCCCAACCTCAACATCCCCTTACCAGACCTCAGTGCTGTATCATTAGCAGGCCTGCCTCCCTCTACTACAGGTACTACTCATACTCCGGTCTATTTTTTTCTGTTAGCTTGGTGGTTTTGACATTGAGTTCTATTGTATTGGTTTTCATATACAGTTGTATGCAAAATGTTGGTGCCTCTAGTCAAAATACATATCTTGTTAACTAATTTTTACTGTAAAAATCAGCATCTTCTATAGAGAACACACTTCTGCACATTTTAATGCACAGTTACTGTTTATGTGCTTAATGTAACATATGAGTGGGGGCTGTGTAAAAGTTATGGCATATTTTGAAGTGTACGTTTTTTTTTGTTTTTTTTTCCCGAATATGCTAATCTTAGCAAAGAAATAAAAAATATGCACTAAAATTTGCATATGTAAGTTTGTTTCCTGTAGGGGATGTGTTAACTTATTTTCCCAGAGCGAATAACAGAACGTGTTATTTGGCCGGGGTTATTCAAACATCTGCACATGACTGTATGCTCAGCCCTGAAGAGTTTAATGCCAACCCTGAACCAACACATCTGCACACGCTCCATAAGGAATTGATTAGCTGAATTAGGTGTGGTTAGCTCATAGAATAGAGTACCGCTTGCTGCATGGTGGTTTAGACCTTATCACACTTACAGTACTTGCTGTAGATAAACTGCCATTCAAAAGTTTGGTTTTTTTTGTCATTTTAATTTTTATTTTAAGAGCTGTCAAAATAATGAATCGTGATTATTATATTTATGTAGTAAATCATGGTTAATCTTATTTGACTTTTTTGCACAAATTTGACACAATTTTTTTTATTTTTTTTTATTTGACAAGCAGCACATTGTGTTATAGCTGTGTGAATGGACATAATCGTCAAAATGTGTGTTATTATTTTCAACAATTCAGTAACATTATTTTCATCATGTTGGAATGCACATTACCCTCAACATGATCTGCCTGTTCAGTGGCTGCATGTTCCAACCAGACTGTATATATCATATTCAGTGAATAGCTTCAACCCCGAGCAGCCTCTCAAACTCATACCACTACATTACATCTTGTTCAAAGGAAAACTGTAGATTTCCACTTTTATTGTTGGTCTTGTCCAGCATAGTATGCAGAATTAATGATACTGCTGGCATCAGCGGGGTGCTCTGCTAGTAATCGGTACTTCACACTTGATGTACTTTGGAGATTAACTAAGTCACAGAATTGCAGTAGCAGAAAATAGCTTTTGTTTTCTAAAGAGCCCTCAGTGGACCCAGTGGAATTTTTAAAAGCTGTATTTGAATGAAAAGTCTGTCATGCAGTCATAGCAGCATGCAAGCAGCTGATCCTTATAGTGGGACTCTGGATGGTTTGAATGGTCTCATAAAAATTTAAATAAAATAGTGCTGTTAATGTGTTATGGTAATGTGTCTCTGGGTTAATGTCTGAACAGCATTAACCAGTGTGGATTTAAATATTAAAAATTAATAATGAATGCATTTTTAGGTGTTTTATTCAATATTTGAAGTATTTTAAGAATTTATTAAATGAAAATAATACACAAAAAATACACTTAAAATTAATTTAATTGTACTTTATTACATGTTAATTCTGGATATTATTCTTATTATAAATGATTTTATTTTAAATGTTGTACAGCGTTCTCAGTCATTATAGAAACTTTTACAGCTCTGTTCATCATTCCAGGCATGTTTGAATTCCTGAATATTGTCCATGCATTAATCCATATATGTTTGTCTGTGCAGGTCTGCCATCCCTGGCTCCTCTCGCTTCCCTCCCCCCTCTAAACCTGCCTGGAATGGCTCCTCTACCCATGCCCAGTGTTTTGCCTTCCACTCTGTCCACAATGCCTGGAGTGTCTCTGCCCTCTGATCTCGTCCCACCCGTCACCCCAGCAACCGTCTCCCTGACGGCCAACCAGACCCCAGCACTCATTCTGGATGCCACACCTACCCCCGCGGTCACTGGCCCACCCACGGAGACGCTCATTGCCACAGAGATGACCTCGCAGGACACAACAGAGGTCAGCGCACAAGCTACCCCGGAGTCATCATAACAACCAGGCATTTCGGCTGCATCCTAGAAATGGATCTCTTTCACTCTGTCTTTCTCTCTTTATATATATATTATCTCTCTCTCTCTCTCTCTTTCTTTCTGTACATTTCTATCTCTTTCCCCTGTCTCTCTCAAATGTATTTATTCAGTCTAAAAATGATCCAGTGGGTAGAAACATATAAATAAATCACACAACACTGCTGCGTGGCCACTCTGAGTCCAGAGAGCCAGCTCATGGGGAGGATGAGGATGGACAGACAAATGAATGCTGTAATAGAGCGATGGAGCCGTTACTTTTTTTGTTTTTTTCCTATTTTTTCCTCACTTTTTCCTTCCTTTCCCCTGCATCATTTTCCCTCTTTCATTGCTTTCTTTATGCGTTCCTTCATTTGTTTTCTGCTCTTTTTTTCACGTAATCAGTTTGGACTTGTTAGAAAAATATAATTAAATTCTGTTATTTCTAATAGATGTAATGATTGTATCTGATGCTTTTATTTTTTTCTCCTCTTGATTGTTTTTGCTGCATGTTTTTTTCTTTGACTTTCACTGCACACCTCTCCATGAAGATTGAGTGGGCTTTGAGAGTATGTTGTGTGTATGTGTGCATCCTCTCCCTCTCAGTGAGACCTCTCTGCTGATCAGATTTGCTGATACGCACACACATACATGCACCTGCTGTAGAGCTGTGAGGGAAACTGTGGGGAAAGTCGTGAGCTTGTGCAAATTTAAGGTTGTAAAGAACACACACAAGCAATAAAGTACATGAGGTTTTACAGTAGTGCCATGTGCCTGTTATGCTTGAAAATGTGAAATTGTTGTGTGTATGAACTATAATAGGGCTGCAGTAATGATTCAATTACAGTGTAACAAAAGGTTTTTTATACTGTCAACACATTTGCATCATGCAAAAAAGGGTAGTATGGCTTCGTAAGAAGAAATCATCCATTTTAGAGTTGGGCAATATGGCAAAAATGTAATACTGTGATGCTTCAGGAAATTTTCATGATACACCATGTCTCACAATATTCATTTTTTCTGACATCTGCTAAGTTGGAACAGACCGAAAAGAACCAGTAGTGTCGCATTAAAAATACTGTTTAAAAACTAGAAGAACAAATGATTCATATTTAACATTTTGACACACTGCACTGCATTAAATCCAGTTAAACAGGATTAACTGCATGTTTGATTACAAAGAGAGCCTAGTTAGTGTAGTCAGTATTCTTTTAAGTACTGACTTAAAATCCCCGATATGCTCAGAAAAGCATATTGTGACTTAATTCATCAATGATTATCATATTGCCCTGATTTGTGCCACAGACAGAACTTTAAACAGTGACTGCAGCGAAGAGAGATGAACTCAAGAAAGCAAGACCCACAAAAGGCAGTATATGCAAACCATGAAAATAGCAATGTTTAATGTAGAAACCTTTACTCAACGATGCATTTGATGTCATTTAGTTCAACTTGTCCCACTCCAAATTATATAAACAGTGACAAAATTGGAATAAATTAATATAGTCTAGAATTGACAAAACAAGAACAGTGGTAAATTGGAGAATAAAATGGTCATTAAATGATAAATTAAGTAATACAAACTTTTAAACTATTTGGAGACTTTAACCAATTGAAAGCTTTCTTTTTAACTTGTTAAAAAAATAAATACGTTTATCACTGAAACAGGAATATAATCAAGATTAACCTGATTAATAAAGTAATCATTAGTTGCACCTGTAACTATAGTCATATTCTCACGAAGAACAAATGCTTTAGGCTGGTTCACATTATCATGGGATGGTTAGATGTGGATTAGTTTAAACAAATTTATGTAGATGAGGGAAATTCATCTAAACAACTAGAATTGTCACTATTGATTATAGTAATTATTTAGTATACACATTTTATAAAAGGCCAAACAATTGCAATTCATACCCTTTAGAGATGTTGTAATATTAATTTCATCTTAATTTATTGGTAAAGGTATTTGGAAGCTTTTAAAAAGACTTTGAAAAAGAAAACACTGAGGCTGAAAGTGCATGTAAATGAATGTCTGTTTAAGAGGGAATTGCTTTAAGACTAGAATTTAAAATACATACCATCAGTCATAATGTAAATTGCCTAACTAATCACAGCCTATTCATACAAAAAGTGAACTGTAATGGGATTTTTTTTACATAATGTATTGATTTAAATCAATTAATGACAGCCCTAGAAATATTAGCTTGCGCTGGCCTAATAAGTAATAGTTCTGCTTTCTTCAGATGTTTTTTTTTCTTTACTACTAATTTATGACTAATGTATGCTTTTAACCAGAGCCAAGTTTTACCAGCAGAGGGCATCATTTATTAAAGAACACAATACGAGTAATCGTTGACACGTTTCTGTGTTTCTGTGTACAGAAAACCACTTGACTAAACACACTTGAGACAACACGTGTTAAGATCATGCTGAAATCTCAGTTTGAACTATTAGACTTTTCAGTAAGTATGAAGCCAAATCTATAAATATTGTAATCATGAGTGTGGAAGTTCAGTGTGGACCCAAATTATGCATTGATGTTGAAATTTAATTTAAGATTAGGAATTTAATTAAAGATAAGTTAAAGGGGTCAAACCATAGTGTGTGTGCACACGCACACACGCACACACAAAATTACACCACAAAACAATAAGCAAAAAAGGCATCCAAAGCAGTTGTATTAAAATAAGTTTTTTGAATTTTTATTTTTCTTTTGGCTACATTCCCTACAATTGCAGCAGCATTTTAGAGACAGATCACAGGTGTTGAGCTGATGACAGGTTTTAGAGAGATAGGGAGGAAACAAAGCGTAAAAGGTTTGACCCAGGACTGCTGAGAACACTCCGGTCTGCCGAGTGTATGATCTCTGGTCAGAGTGGCTGTTCTGGGGTGAGGGGTCAAGGGTTGCCTAGCAACAGGAGAGCAATGGCTCAGGACACATGGGCTTTAATTATCATTAAGGGCGGGGTCCGGCCCACCTTCCGTCTCTTCACTTAAAATTTTTACTCACACACACATCCAAATGCACGCGCACACACACACACACACACACACACACACACACACACATCCAAATGCACGCGCACACACACACACACACACACACACTCCTAACAAAAAAGTTAGATTTTATCATCAACAACATGCTGTGATTTCCTGACAAATATATTTTTGTATGATTTCTATACTAATTAAAATCATACAACTAAAAAAAAATAACTAAAAAGCGACACTGTATAGCAGCATCATGAAAATCGCTTGAGGAGGAAAGAAAAAGAAAAAACAAAGGAGAAAATGGAGGAAGGAGCAGATCCCACAGTAAGTGGACCTGCTAACACACACATCACGGAAACTTACACATCACAGCTGGAGGAGGTTGAAAAACACATTTTCACCTTTGTAGCTGAAAATATGCAGCTCCAAAGAACAGCCCACGTGCTGTCACTGTCGTAACAAAACCTTGTATCTCCAAAAGATGCGGGAAATCGCTGAGATTTAAAAAAAAATTACTTGAAATGTCTGTATAATTAAATCGCTGAGATGTAAACAAAGCCATTCAAATTGGTTTGATCCAAAATAGTTCACTGCAGAGACACTTGCTGACTTGAATGTCTTTACAGTAGTGGTGATAAGAAGGAAATACAGAACCTGTACGTGTCTGAGTTTTATATCTAATATTTCTACGGGTTGAAAATCATGAAAAATACATTTTATCGGGTACTATTTTGCCTTATGCCCTGCACGTATCTCTCTGCCATAAAAAGTACATTTTAGGCCAGAAGCTTCTCAGAACTATCGTAAACAATGTCTCAGGCAGCAGGCAATACGTTCGTAACCTTTTCATGTAAGAAATTTCCGCGTGGGGGCTTTACAGGCGTTAAACCCTTCAGACCATCTGGTTCCTACCACCACCCTTAGACCAGTTCTGACTTAGCAAGTTTATCTGAAATAGAGCAGTTCAAATTAAACCACGTCTATTAATGACATTGTATACAACTTACCAACTGAATTACGCAGTCATTTTGAAAACGCAACAGAATCAATATTTAAAGTATAAGATTTTACTCTAAATAATTTACGACCGCTTCTATTGGTCCATTCTACATGAAATGTTCACACTAAGTAAATGGGCAGCTGGCGTTAAAAAATTAAAGTGAAAAAACACGGATTTAGAAGGTTTTCTAATGTCCGCAATGAATACTAACACTGTAACCACAGACACACACACACAAACTCCAGAGTACTGTGCGTACATATACACATACACACACACACACACCGCACTTTCCCAACAGCATCTTTGACTGACACACACTCCAGAAAACTGCCAACATGCACACACACACACACACACACGACACTGGCTTCAAATACACACACGCACACGCATACGCGCACACACACACACACATACACACACACACACCCCTTTCAAGGGGTGTAACACAGAAATAACAGTGAGAAGTTAAAATGTAAAGTCTCCCCCTGCAGTGCCTGTAAGCTTCAGTAAGCACAGAAAATTCCTCCCTTTATACTTTTTACAGCTTCACAGAACATCTATTTTTAAAACCATCAAACTCTGAAGCCGTACATATTCAAGTTTTTCCATCTGTGCTAAACACAGTTGCACCCAATCGGAGCGCATGGAGGAGGCGACTTCAGCCATGCTTGCTTATCACCATGGCAACCGATGCCGGGCCAGGGGCATGTCTTTATGCTTGTAGGCCCCTCCCCCTTTCCATCTGCACGGGGGTGGGCAGGTGAGGGAAAGCGCTGCTGAAATAAAGTCAACCATCTTTCCAGCCGGAGAGATCAGTAGGAGATGATGCCAGAGGAGGCAGGGCTAGAGGGCGTGGCCTGCAGGTTTCCCGATGAATTGGATCTTCTGATGTGCGGAAGCAGGTAGGAGTCACTGCAAAGCTGGTGGACATCATAACGGTCCTCCTTTCTATAGGCTAGACAGCGCCGAATAAACGCCTGAAGAAAGAAAGAAAGAAAGAAAGAAAGAAAGAAAGAGAGAGAGAGAGAGAGAGAGAGAGAGAGAGAGAGAGATTTATAATCCTGAAATATTCCTATTTAAATGATTTCAAATAGTGCTATACTATAAGACTTTGTGGTAGGCCTAATTAAATAAACAAGAAGGAAATATTGTAACTGACTAATTTAGCGGCTAAAATTTCAGTATATCTGTAATATTTTACATATCTAAAAATCTTTAGCACCACCTCTTACTAAATCAGTGCTCTTATACCTCTATACAACTTTCATAGTGCTCAGTTTCAGTTTGAACACCAACTATTTAAATGGCTGCTAATCACAGTAAAAGACTGCATAATGTGTAGCATGTGGACCTTGGCTTCGTTGCTGACCACAGGTTTAGGAGGGAACTGGACTTCAGTGGCTTTGAGGATGGTGTTCTCCTGGAGGATGTCCTGCTGAGACTGGTTATGGCCAAAGGGCTGCAGAACATTACAAAAACTTTAATGTACAACATGGCAAAAAATAAATAAATAAATAAATGCCATCAGGTTTGTGGGATATTCAAAGGGTCAAGTGTCTGACCCTTCTCTGTGTCTTTGAGAGTATGTGTGCCAGTTACCTTGCGTCCATACAGACACTGGAAGAAAATGACGCCCACAGACCAAACATCTACTTTGTTGGAGATCTTTGGAGGCTCTTTACCAACTACAAAACACTCCGGTGGTAAATACCTAAAACATGGACATTCAATTAACAAATAGCACAAAATAGCCCAAAAAAAGAAAAGAAAACATACAGCAAAGGCTGATAAAACTAGACATAAATATGCTCCTTCCATCAATGACGACATGCTTCTCAAAATCTAACAATGTCAGGTAGTGTGACTGTCCAACTGCATATTCAGATTAAGTAAATTATTTAGAAAAGGCAATTTACTCTTACAAAAATAAAATGATTTTAAAGGTTTTAAACATAAACCTTGCCCAACTATAACATGCTGCAAAATAGGGCACCTTTAAAAGTATTCAACTTGCTGGAAAACTTGTGTCTGTAAATTCTAATTTCCCTAAATGTCAAGTGGCATAACCAAAAAAAACAAGAATTCTATTCTAACATGCTTTGAAGAAAGAGTGGGCTGGGTACTGCATCATAAAGATGACCCCAAGTGACCTTCATGGTCAGTAGCCCTTTCACAAACTTTATACCACTATAAAATGTATACCACTATAAAGACTACAAAAATATCAATAGCTGCTCGCAGACACAAAAATGTATTTATTTAATAATAATTTTAGAAGATGCTCGTCATTGACTCGTATCACAGGACACAGATCGTGATCCAGTCTCACCAGTACGTTCCGGCCCCCTGGGAGGTCAGGTCCATGCCATCCACCCCATAGTTATCATCGTCCATGATCTTGGACAGGCCAAAATCTGTGATTTTTATCTCTCCACACGCTGTACCGTCCACCAGCAGGATGTTTCCTGATATTCAGAAAGTAAACTTTACTCTCAAACATACACTGCACAATGATTTACAATCTACAGACTAAGTCTAATGTTGCCTTCATATTCTCGTTGAATTGTGCTGTTTTCCCACTCGTGAAAGTCATAATCACAAAGCCTTTGTGTTAAAGTGCTTTGTACATGGAAACATTCAGGAGCTGCCATCTGAGTTTATTTAGTAAACACACTGCTAATGTTAGCAATTTAGCTGAAGTAATCTATTCTGGTATCTACTTATCGTTTGTCTTTAAAAGTAAAAATGTACAGATGGTCAGAGAACTGTTGCAGATGTAACCATAGCAAATATACGTAAGTGTTTATGACCTAAAGACTACTAAAAGTAAGTTGCCTTAAGAAAAACAAAGAATTACCTACCACTGACCACTGTAATTGTCTTTTACTTTTGACATGCAAGTATACAGACTGCATATAGGAAAGCTAGATGCACTGAGGATGCTGCTGGTTATGATTAAAGCACATAGTCATGGTCAAAATTTTGTTAAGTGCTTTTAACACTGTTCACCCTCATTTATCAGTTGGCAAGATAATTGGAGCAATAAATTACTTTCTGCTGAATCGCAGTCAGCAAGTTAAAGTCAACATGAATCAGAAATCAGAACACATTTTTCTTCCTCAACATAACACATTTCCAAGTGAAATAGGATACTCAGGTGGGAAAACTAAGATATTACTGGCTAGTAGATTTTTTCACATAACGTTGGAACACAGTAATGAAGCCAAACGTCAGATTGCATTGAGACACAGGCAAAAGTTACTACACTTCGATCAAAGATTAAGATTCTCAGCCAAATCATATATGCAGATGACAGCTTTTAAAAGTCCTTAATGTGTTTTGAGAAAGAGACTATATATTTATACATATCTTCAAGTCAGGAAAACTAAAGATATGGTCGTTGATTTCAAACAAACCAAGACCACAGTTCCTTCAACTGAAACTGAGGTTGAATTGCTACAGAGTCTCAACATACAAATATTTTAGAACAGAAATTCATTAACTTAAGTTTGCAGATTATGTGGCATCCAAAGCAAGAAAAAGGGCAGAATTTTTCTTTTCACGTCAGTTAAGCAAGTTTAAAGTTAATTGTTGTGTTTGTAACTTTTATAAATCTGTACTCCAGAGTACTCCTGACTTTTGACGTGTACGCTTGGGAATATGCGTATCCAAAACTGAAACAAACTCCAAAGATTAATTAAGACAGCAAGGACTCTAAGAACTGAGCAGTGGCCACTCACTTACCGTTATAATGACTGTCTTTTACATAAGCTTCAGTGCAGTATTTTACCCATAAGACTCTACCCATATTTTATATCAGAAATTTAAAATTAGTCAAAACATAGAGAATTCTGCAGGCCAGAATTTAAACAACCAGGTTCAAACAATCTTTTGTTCCTGCAGCTATGAACATATTTTACAGTTAAACGGAATGCATTTGGAACTTTGACCACAAAAGTGCAGCCAAGCAATTAGAGGTGTTTTGTTACTTTTTGTGGCAAGTTGTGGTTTCTGTATACTTTATTTATGTGTGTGTTGGGGGTTACTTTATGTAGTGTCATTATTTTATTTTTAGTACTGGTGTGTGGTATTTTTGCACCACTGACAATTTTCTACATAGATAATAAAGTTATCTTGACTCAAGAAATCTGTTTCTGAAGCTTGAATGGTAATTAGGACTTGAAGGAACATTCATGTACAATGTCTGGGTCAAGAATAGGGCTTAGAGTCTTACAAATATTTTCAATATCATCACCTGTGATGATAACTTGATTCTGAATGTTTGTGCTGCAGAATTTTATGGAAAATAATTGTTCCATAAACATTCAACAGCACAAGTTGACATACTAACTGTTAAAGTTATTAATTTCACAGAAGTTGCAACACTAAGCAAATCGTGTTTGAAGAGGGGGCGTGGCCATGCCCGTGCAGTGCCAATACAGCCAAACCATCATTAACTGAGCAGTACAAAAACTCTGGCAAATGCAGGAATCAAGTTTTACGGGTTATGGAATAAATATCTGTAGAACTATACTACAAAATGTCATGATTTTTGTTATGAATGATTATTCTGAGGGAAAAGACTATTTGACAGTGTGACTGGTCCCCAAATACAAAAGTTGTATTTGTATTTGATAAATTTGTATTTGTGCTTGATAAAGATTACACAGGCGCTGAAATTTAGGTACTGAAGAACACAGAAGGTTTCAAAACAACGTAATAATGAAGTAATCTGGTCGGTACCATAAAAGCATTGAATTTCAATTACACGCCTTATTCAGGAACTTGGAATACTTACAGGTACTTGATGATTCTAAAAGCACATGAAGGCAGCATAAGACTAAACAGTCACAGAAAGTACCCTTTGGTGGAGTGTGATGTATTCCCACCTGGTTTGAGGTCGTAGTGAATGATTGGTGGTTTGATCTCGTTGAGGTATCGGAGAGCATTAGCAATCTGCATGACAATGGAGCGTGCTTCTTTCTCTGACATCAGCTTGTGCTGCTTCAGATAAAAATCCAGATCATTCCCTTCACAGAACTCCAACACCGTACAGAACCTGCAACCATTGAAAAGACACAAAACACCATAAAGCACCTGCAACCAGCAGAAAACAGCCAGAGTACAGTAAACAGACTCAACATCAAGGCCACAGAATTGTCTGGAAAAACCAGCATTTCCATTCAGAAAGACTGATCTGAATACATGCTAGTCATTTTCTTCTACTACTGTGGTCTGCAAAATATTTTTAAAAAGGCCACAGCTCAACTCTGTGCTAGACTTGCAGGCAAAGGGCTTTTTCTGATGAATTGATACTGTATTTAGTAGCCAATAATTTGTTTTAAAAAAATTACATAAACATTGCATTTTATATGTTTGTAGTGATCAACAGACATTTTCAGACAAATGATGAAGCATTTTTTTACTAGTCTACACAAAATAGCCTACAATGTTAGAAAAAAGTTCAAACTTGGCTGGTAGGGGTCGGAATCACTACAGACTCCAAGATATCACAGTGTTGAAGCTGCGATATGCTTCTCTGGTGGTATTTTTAGGGATTTGTGATTGTCATATTGCAATAGGGGTGGCACAGGTAGCGCTGTCACCTCACAGCAAGAAAGGCCTGGGTTTGGTTCACCGGCCAGGCGACCAGGGTCCTTTCTGTGAGGAGTATGCATGTTTTCCCCGTGTCTGTGTGGGTTTCCTCTGGGTTTGCTGGTTTCCTCCCACAGTCCAAAGACATGCGGTCTGGCCGATTGGACACACTAAATTGCCCCTAGGTGTGAGTGTGTGTGTGGATGTATATGCCTGTCTGGTGACCCGTGCAGGGTGTATCCTGCCTTCTGCCCAATGGCAGCTGGGATAGGCTCCAGCATCCCCCGTGACCCAGAAGGATAAGCAGTTTAGAAAATGTGTGTGCATATTGCAATGTTAGTTTTTCAAATTATTTCCCTAAAAAACCCTGTCTTATCTAATTTATTCAATTTTAATCATATTAACGTAAAAAAAGAATTGTGAAGTACATACATTAACATTCAAAAACAACTGTCCTTATTTACATATTTAGCAGACACTCTTATTTGTGAAGCGAGCAAATAACATCATTCGAGGCTTCATCCTTACTTACTTAAAATTATTTTATACATGGTAATTTACAATGGCCTATTGGCATTTTGCTTTTATTTGGGGCCTTTTTTGGTTAGAGCTACTAGCTAGGCTAACTTAAGCCCTTTTCACACTCAAAACCTGAAACATTATTGGAGTGGAACAGTCTTTTAGTGAATCAATCAATCAATTAATTAATCAATGAAATTAATACATAACATAAATAAAATAAAAATAAACAAGCAAAACTGTCTCGATGAGGCAGGAATTTTTGCAGTTTATCACATATGATGAAGGCAACCAATCAGTATTTCGCTCTACCCAACAATTAAATTACCAAACCCACACATTATTGCAAAACTTGGCAATGATGGCTGCTAGGACTTGTCCAGACCAGAAGAGCTACGGTTCATGGCTGCTGGCGGCAGTTACTCACGTGTCTGTGTCCAGGGAGAAGTAGTCATACAGTTTGACTATTCTAGGATGGTCCAGTTGCTTGTGGATTCGGTATTCTCTACAGGCATGCCTGGAGTGACAGAATACAGAATTAAGGAAAGAACAGTAAAAGAGAATAAATGCAAGACATTCCTCTCTTTAAAAGTCCTCCTAAACCAAAACCATAACACATTCAGTCAAAGCTATCCATAAATAAAATATGTATATTTTCACATCTATTTAAAGTGCATGAAAAACACATTTCATAATTAATTAAAGAGCTACATCTCTTAAATGTTACATATCAAAGACACAAAATGTCACTAATGTGGAGCACCAGCATGTAGGTGCCAAAATCCCTAGCAAGCACGCACTTCTGGCATGTCCATAATGACCACCAGACTCAGCCATTTCAGCTAACAGAAGGTTGATGTCGTTCTAGTTCAGGGGTGTCTAATCTTATCCACAAAGGGCTGGTGTAGGTGCAGGTTTTCAGTCCAACCAAGAAGAGGACACCTGATTTCACAATCACAGTCTCAGTCTTTAAAACAACTGATCCTATGTGCTCCTGCTTTGTTGGAACAAAAACCTGCAGCCACACTGGCCCTTTGCGAATAAGATTGGGCACCCCTGCTCTAGTTAGTAGAGAGGCAATAGATCCCCCTTTTGGACAATCTTGTGAGAGAGTGAGCGAGCAAGTGACAAGGCAGATCCATGAGGTGCTTCTAAAAACATATGAAACCAAGATGAACATAATGATTACAAACGTGTTAAAGCTCATGCACTGTGAAGGTCTTTTTTGTGTTTTCAGTCATTGAGTATATCGGCTTTATGATCTATACCTCGAACATTTCCTTTGAGATAAGAAAATGTCCTTTACGCAAACATCCATATACTCCATTCTCAATTATTTTTTCTTTGTAAGATTACCCTCATGAAAAAAAATGCATTTTTTCCTTGTTTTGACCTTTATGCTTAATTCAAACTATCTGGATACACATCAGAGGACATTTTTTACTTCACTGCTTTCCGGAGGGAACTGTCAGTCACATACTTGTGATAGTTTTCCTTTTTCTCTTCTCTCCAGTTCTTGTTGAGTTGGTGAATCTTCACCGCAGCGTAGCGCTGTTCGAACAGGTCAAAGGCCTACACAACCACAAACAGCTCAACCATCACAAACGCGTTTGAGCGAGAGAGAAAAAAAATAAATGCTACTGAATAACTGATTGTCTGTGGTAGAGGTTAATTACCTTGTAAACCTCACTGAATCCTCCTCTTCCCAGCAAGTGCAAAAGGAGATATCTATCATTGAGAGTGGGGTGATCTTTAAACCTGAAAAAAAAATTAAGGAGGTACATGCAAAATCAGAACAAGTAATGGTTTCCATGATGAAAGTGAATTTATCATAAATGAGAGACAGAGACAGAGGGAGAAACAGCAAGAGTGAGAACAAGAAAGAGACAGAGCGAGACAGACAGACAGAAAGAAAAAAGGAGAGAAAGCAACAGAGAGAGACAAAACATGACACAGAGAGAGGTAGAGAGTAAGAAAGAAAAGTAAAGGGGAAAAGAAGAATGATCGAGAGAGACAGAGGTGAGGAAGAGTGTGAGTGATCAAGACAGAGAGAGAAAAAAAGGGAAACGTTAAAAAGACAACGATAGAAATGGAGACACTGTGAGAGAGAGAGAGAGAGAGAGAGAGAGAGAGAGAGAGAGAGAGAGAAAGAGAGAGACTCACTGAGAGCTGTCCTCATTACTAATTCTCTTCAGTTCACGTATATGCAAATTTCTCACTCTCTCCAAACGCTCCAGCTCAGCCTGGATCTCTGCCTCCTCCTACACAAAAAAGCAAGTAAAAACAAGTGCAAATGCTTACATGTACCTACATATAGAGGAATACACCGAGAACATGTCCCTGACTAAAGCACACACAAAGCAGTTCAATGAAGTGATATTTCTGCCTGACTGCTTCTGCATTAACTGCTAACGCCCCACTGCACTGTCCTTCTTAACACTCAGTCCCTTAATGCAGGCATATAGATGTGCATGTGTGTGAGTGTGTGTTTGTGTGACCTTTTTAAGATGACCCAGTCTCAGTTTGAAGATTTCTTCCTGCTCATGATATTCTGCTACAGTCAACCTGCAAAAATCAATAAAAGGTAAACAGCTGTTAGAATGGCACTGTTACTGTATGTATGTCTTGCTGAAAGTTTTTTACCCAAAGTATACATTTTTTTTTTTTTTTATTCAGGTCAAATTCCACAACGTACAAACACACAACAGTTGCTGCTAATAAAAGGTCATCTTCGACACCCAGCTTTTTTAACAAAAATCAACAATACAACCTCTAATTACCCCTAACTCATTGACCCATATACTCAGACAAACCATGTGTTAACCAATCATTACTAGTTCTACTAAAACATTAAAAGTGAACAATACATGGTGCATGAAGCTGGCACATGTTATGGTAACTCGCTCTACCTGTCACTCTGACACAGCATCCACATCTAAGTGACACTGTAGCATTACAAACTACACAATATCAATGAACAACTAAAATAGGCATTAGCAGCTAAAATATGCAGCCTAGGTAGCATCATGAGCAAATTTTCAGGACTCATATTTCTAGCTAATTATCATTTATTTTTATTTTCCAAGTGTTTTCCATGACTAGAAAACCAGTCCATAATTTTCCCAGTTTTCCAGAACATGTGGGAACCCTGATTAGGTGACAGTAGTACTGGTTATGGTTTTGGTTTGAGGTCAGGTTATAGAATCAATTTAAGGTATGGGTCAAATTAGTCTTAGGGAAGAGATACATACATACACACACAATAATCTGAGTCAACACCATTTACGTCCACGTTTGTGCGCAAGGGTCTAAGGCCAGAAACATACACAACACAAATACGCAAAACAGGGGAGTTATACAGTTGTGCTTATATACTTGCGCAGGGTATGTTTTAGATCTAAATGTGTACAATACATACAGTGTAGGTAGGCTGGGTTTGAGGAAGGGGTCACTGTCGGCTCCGTTTACTGCTTTGGTCTTTCTGGGTTTGGATTCTCCATAAGGGGTGGGGCTCTGTGAGGCAGGGGTATTGGGGGGTTTGCGCTTTGCTAGCAGTTTCCGCTGCCTCTCAATGTCTTCCCTCTGCTGGTTTATCCACTCCTGCTGTCTGAACACAAAAATATTTACAAAAACACACTTCATTCCTGCATCATCTACAAATACAGAACAATAATTACTAATGGTACTGGCTTAAAATGCTTCTGAAAGATTTTTGCACAACATACTCTTAAAGTCTAAGACATATTTGTGTGTGATAGTGTGTAAGTATGTATGTATGTATTCATTTGTGTTTGTAATTTTGAGTGATCAAGAGATTTATGACCATTATGACCCTTTTGGCACAAAACACCACACAAATGTCATAAGTGGATCTCAGGACCCTTTAAACTAATTTGACGGTTGAAGTTATAAATATTTTGTTGTATGGTAATACAATAGGTGTGTGTGTGCGTGTGCGCATGCTCCCTACTTGACCAGATTCTGGAAGGCATATCCATCGGTCCACTGCTCTGTGTATGACGCTCCGTGTCGGACTGTGGTGAAGTGGCCAAGCCGCAAACGGTCCTGCATGCTTTTCTCCCGACATGACTGTTTCTCCTGTGTGCTCTAAAACAGAGAGCATCCAGATCACACACACCAACATACAGAGACTTAAACATTCTCGCACAAAATAAAACAATAAAAAAAAAAATCATTGCTGCATCATGAAACATCAATCTGAAAGTGGAGATTTAACTGCACAAATTCCGGAATGTAAGAATCATCTATAACTATTAAAACATTCAATAAAACATGCACTAAATTATTGGCCAAAATAAATTTCTCTGGCTTTTTTCCCCAAAGGTAAAAACAAAAAAAAGCTCAGCACACTGTTTTATTGCTTATTTCACAATACTGTGCAAATACAACAGGCCTTCAGTCAAATTAGGGGTCGGCAATACAGCTTAAATACATCACGATTCTAAGTTTTAGTGAGTTGAAACAGACAAAAATGGCCCAGTTTAAATTGTCGCATTTATAAAAAAAAAAAAAAACAAAAAAAAACTATGAATGATTTTTACTTTACATTTCACATACTGCACTGCACTAAATCCAATTTAACAGGCCTAAATAATCTTTATTTGTCATAAAAAATGCAGTTCTGAGTTCTTTAAGCACTAATAATATCCACGATATGTTCAGAAAAACATTTTGTCATACTGCCAAAGTTAAACGTATATTATTTTGCATATGAATTAGGGATGTGCATTCCAACAAATTTTTATATTTGAATATCTGTAACCAAGCTAACATCAGCTACAGTAGTTAGCCTGGTTATCAATAAAGCTGCACCTTCTCAGCCCTTAACAACACGTCTTTGGCAACGTGCTCACATTAAGACACTCATAGTAGCACAGTGCTATTAATATAACATAATTACTTACAAACACCTGAAAAACTGTAAAATGTTAATTTTCTTAAAACATAAAAGCGGTGTCACTGGACTATTTACCTTTGTGTCCCCCCCAAACACCCGAATAGTAGGGGTGCAGGAAAAAATCGATTCTTAGATGCATCGCGACGCAGACGTGAACGATTCTGAATTGATTCACAAATGTCAAAAATCGATTTTCTAAATATTTAATTTATAACGTAATGTTGACGGAACGCAGAAGGCGGAACTTGGAAGTGGGTAAGTGCAGCGCCCGGACAGTCTGTGACAGCACTCAACAAAAACACCCTATCATGAGTGAGAAATCGACCGGCACCCTCTGCATTAAAGCCAGGTTAGATCAGGAGTCACAACCCAAATGATAAGAAGAGCCATTTTGTCCTTTCAACAAAGATCAAACCACCTTTGGAGCCACAACATTTAAATGTCGCGTATGTCTCAGTATGTGATAATGTATTAGTATAGGCTAAACAATATAAACGAGAGCGCAGATTTACTTTGCTCTGCTTTAAGCTTTAGCTTTAGCCGCTTTCCTCCCATCTCCGCCAGAAAACTTTTCCTCAAAACTAGATCAGTTTCTTGTAAAATGTCTCTCAACATTCGACTGTTTTACGAGGCTGTCGCTTCTCATTCTCCAGCTTCATGTTCGAATTTTCCCATTCCACCTTAAATTCTGACTGAGGCACCAAATGTAAATGCGGCACCATTTAAGGTGGTACGAGAAAATTCAGAAGAGAAGCGACTTCATCTTTGCAACTTTTTACTGTTTGACAGTCCCTCATTGCAGATTTAACGTACCATGAAACCAACTGCAGTGCTTATAAATGCAATTAACGCATAGTTGCTAGGTGACCTGCAGTCTGCATGGCAATTCTCAGTTGTTGCGAAACAGGGCTTTCGCGCAATGTTGCACACGTCCCGTCTCGATCCTCCCCACCCCTTTCTCTACGACGAGACCAAAACCAAAGTTATAAAGTCACTAAAAACGGGTAGGACTGCTTGAACGTGTGCCGCGTGGACTTCCACTGCCACTGGATCTTATTTCACCGTAACTGCGCATTTTATCGCAGATGAGTGGCAGCAGCGTCTCATGTGCTCTAAAGGCAGTGAATGAGAGCCTTCTAGTTCACTTGCCACATCACTTCCATTTGGTTTATTAATAAAAGATATTGGAAGTAACTTCATTATGGATCATTACAAATACTTTGCTTTAAAACTACCAAGTCCTCACACTGTGGAAAAAATAGAAATGATGTATAGAAAAAAAAAGATGCATCGAGATGCATCGATAATCGTTTTATAATCGCATCGCAGCCCTCTGAATCGTAACCGAACCGAATCGTGAGGTGCCTAGAGATTCCCATCCCTACCGAATAGTGATTTCAGTATTCAAATATTGGCACCTCAAACAGTCAACCAAGTGTTTGAGTATATTTGCATATCCCTAAAATGACTTGAACCAAAATAACTGAATCAACTGAACTGTGGTCAAGGTTTTATGATGCTCTGAGTAGCCTCTTAAAGAACCATAACAGAATGACACTCCTGCCAAATGTGCAAACATCCTACCTTCTCAATGAGGAGTTTTTTGCTCATGGTAGTGCATTTGTTCAGTCGCTCTTTATATCTCTCCAGCAGCTTCTGCTGTTCTTCAATCTGTCTCCGGAGGTCACAGTTAGCCTGAGGAGAGGATTATTATCACTGTATGCTAACAAGGGTGTCTTCTGCCACTTCACATATCTATATATAAGAAACCGCTAATAGGGAGTGAAAACAAAAAGTCAAAATAATATTTTTCACAGACTGTATTTTTTTGCTTCCGTTCCCTGTACAATTCTTCATCTCTAATAACAAGTCCCTCAACTTCTTTCTTACCCTGAGCAGATCATCTATTCTTCCTTCTTTTTTCTCCAGATCCAGATTCTTATTGCTTTCAAGTGCTGCAAGCTTCAGCAGTGTCAGATCAGTCTGAGAAAAATAAAAAGACAGAATGAGAGAGAGAAAGAGAGCAAATAAGAAAAACCATAAGAGAAATACTGACAACCTGAAATAAAAATGGATCTTTTTCCCTTGTTAACTCATGTCCCCAGTTACGTTCAGCATGATTTAAATCATTTCATTTAAAAGACTTCTTGTTTTCCTGCAGTCTTTGTCAAAAATACATCTTTTGAGTTCTGATGCACCAGCGGGCAAGAAAAATAACCTTAATTAATAATACCATGTTTCAACACCCACCCCCAACACACCCTTCATGTAATGTACTCACAACTATGTCATAGTACCAAATATATACCATGGTATACTGTCAGAGCAATGCACACTGTAAACAGGTCATGCAACTTCGTGCGCATGTCTCACCTGCACGTTTCTGCTGCTAAGCTGCTTTGGGTGTGTCGTGTGATCAGTGAAACACAGGCTGGTGGGTGAGGAGCTGTTCTGTCGGACCTGCCAGCCAAAAAAGACAAAGAAAAGATGTAATGTGCTGCGTTATCTCGTACGAAGTTTCTTCATCCAGTAACTGTTTGCACAAGTATTCTCCTAAGCACTTACAATGGATCCAGGTGCAGAGTGTGAGCCATGTGGGGAGCGGAGGACAGGAGGAATGCCCCTTACCGGACTAGAGCCACTTCCACCCTGCAACTATATAAAAACATCACCCCATCAGTCAAATTAGTATGTCAGTGAATTACATTCTGCATGTTTTATGCTGTGGTATCATTACTCGCTATTTTAGTCACATCTGAATCAGTCATGTCAATAAAGGCCAACTAACACAAACTGTTTTTGCACTAATTTATCCTCCATGCACAAAGATCCAGATGCACAGCTTATGTCAGTCAGAACACAATTTCCCGTCTGTTCTGCTGTGTAGAGCTGACCAACTACTGCACTGTACTAGGGGCGTTTATACAGTCATGATGCTAACTACGCTATTTACTAGTGATACACCGAATGATATATTCTTGGCCGAAAAACAAATTCAAAACACATTTGAACAAAAAACAAAAACCAATGAACTTTTAATATTTTTTATTTGCCTTTGTATACATCACTGACCAAAAAACAAAAGAAGTATCTCTAAAATGGCAAATTCACAGAACAAAGCAAAAATATTCTTTACTGCCAACGTTAATTAATGTTAAGAGATTTTACTCCAAGGATTCTTGGAGCATTTCCATTGATCTAGTCATTATGATGTTTTCACACAATGTAAAGAACAGTAGCTGTGCTCAAATGACAAATGTAGATACTTTTTTTTTTATTTTTGGACAGTGATGATGCTTTTAAATGAAACAGACAAACAAAAAAACTTGTAAGTTTGTAAGTTTCAAAAACTATTACAGTATGCACTTCGCCAGTGTCATTTGTGAATTTTCTTCTTCATTTCAAAAACTGACTACAGATGGTGGTAGCGTGCTTCAGCTTCTGTTGCTTTGCTGTATCTGTTTACAGAGTGGGACGTTTTCAAGTGGTCTCAAACTTCTAATAGAGAAGTCCCTAGGTACTCATACTTAACAGTGATTACAATGATCTCCCTCAGAGAAAATGTTGAATGGTTCACGCAGCTGACATTTTCATTACTACTCAAACCATGTAAATGCCTCCATGCTGCAGGGGAAAGTTTTGAACCTTTGCTACCATTAAAGTTATTTGTCAAGTGTTTGATTTTAACACTTTCTTGTGCAATTATTAAATCTTTTTTTACTTTCTATTGCTTCTTTCAGTGTTTGAAATGTCAGTGCATCCCTACTTTTTAAGCTGCTTCTGACTTCGTTCCGTTCTGTATGTGCTGCAGATTGGAATATCAGCTCTTAATTTTCTGTCCTAATTAAAGAGTTTTCACCCTTTTTGGATGCACACTGCTCTTAAGTGTCACACCTGATGTGATCTCCTTGTACCTCTTGACAATCTGCAAGCTCCTGTGTCTGTGAATATTAGGCCAGCTTCTTTCTTTTTGTATTTCTTAAGTATAGAGGGACTCAAGTAAGTATTATTTAGATCAAATCAAGCCACTGGCCTAAAGCGTACGTCATTATACATTAAAATCCGGAGATGTCCAGCAGACTGTATAAGCCCTCTGTCAAAACAGTACTTATTACAGTTTACTTATTTCAGGATGAGGTTGGATATGAGCAGTCAGTCAACTAGCTTGTTTTAAAGAATCGCTTTTTTCCCATATTTGAATGACATGAGCTAAGCAATGTGACAAGCTCTGACTGGACTGCTTTTCTGTCATCATTATTTCTGACACGTGACTGAATAACGTTTAAAACTACTGCTGACTAAACACACACACACACACACACACACACACACACACACACCCACACACTTACATCAAAATAATCGCTGATCTTCGCCCCTCGGCCAGAAGACTTCCCTGCAAAGTTGAAACAAAAAGATGTTGCACCATCTTAGCCCGTGAAGTAAAAACCAGGAAATACTTCAACTAAACTACACTTATTCTGAGCATAAATAAATACATACATACATACATACATACATACATACATACATCCTCATTTTCACACAACTAAGGCAGGACTAAACTTTTTGGTTTGGTTTTATGTAAAAAATCAATGGTGTATTCACCATTACTATTAACTGAGTACTATTAACTGGTGAGGCTGCCAATATTATGATGCACTTCTATGTCAGTTTGCATGTAGCATGTTCGTTTTATTACTTATTATCTTGTAATTCAAATGACTGATATTTGGTGGAAAAATGAATGCAAGCACAAAACAAATCTGCTTTGTTATTGAAAATACGCATTGAGATTAATAGTCAACTATAAAACAGGCAGCCATGACCACACAGTCTGACTGAAAAGCATTCTATAGGTATTGTTATGTTGTGTAACTGTTGTAACTACTTTTTTTTCACCATTCCTGTCCCTTTCCACTGACCACGGGTTGCTAAGCCACAACAATGGCTGCTTTACAGAGATAGCTGGAACTACTTTTTGAGTGGATGAAATTGCCCACATTTTATTCATATTATTCATATTATATATATATATATATATATATATATATATATATATATATATATATATATATATATATATATATATATTTTAAACAATGAGCCTTCTTCGTTTAGCATTTTTTTTTTTCTTTTCTTTGCAAAGCTGATGATCTACTAAGACCAAATTATAGCCGTGATGTTATTCACATACAACCTCGAGGGCATAAATAATAAGCCTGCAGTTATATGGGTTAAAAAAGTATATAAGACAAGTTTTCTCCAATTACACTGGGTGTTCTCAATCACATGACCAGAAGACAGACCACACCTTGGTTGCTCTCTGACTGGTTGTCAGCTTTTCTCTTTCTTCTCGATGACTCAGAGTGCTTCTTCTCAGGTGTCTAGAAGACAGAAAAAAAAAATCTGAGTCCTTCCCTTCAGCCAAGAAATCTCAGCAGAGTATAATGATTACATTCAAGCCTAAAAGGAACAGACCATCTACTATTTACAGCAAACAAGAAGCAAGAAATAAGTGCATTTTCTATTAAAGCAAAGCTTTACAGTTTTACTCAGCTGAATATTTTTGTCCATTCAAAAGTCATTCTCAAAACAGTTAACATACACTAAACAGAGGTTTGCTGGGCAGGAGACCAAATTCCTTCAATCACCAAAAAACCCCACTAAATACAGGTTTCAGTTTCACAGGTTTCAGCCTTCATTAGTTCTACTGTTCTATCTGCTAATACTTTTTTTTCTGAATGTGCTGATAAAGTTCCAGAAAGTTTAGGAACATTACAGTGTTAAACATATTCTTTTCCAGAGATACATTTCAGTGCAATGTATAGTAAAAAACAAAAACACAAAAACCCAAGACAAACAGCTTTAAAAAATAAATGAACACATAAATTCATCCACAAAATGTCACTAACAAAGTATTCGGAAATAAACATTATTTACACCATGCTTCTTTTTTTCCCCTAAACCTGAAAAACAGCTGTGAGTGCTGGAGGGATAAGACTGTCCAAAAAAGATGCCAAACCCTCGGCCTGAGTACATCAGGGACAGACCGTGTCAAAGGGGCTCAAACATAAGGCCTTTCAATTCATACCAAAATAGACTGAAGGTCTCACATTTTTCAATGAAAATGGAAAAAGTAAATATCAGAAACAAATGTTTCTGAATATCTGGCGAAATCTTTTTTTGGGTGGATGGGGCTGTGCAGTAAACTTCCTTAAAACTCAAGGTTACAGTATCTCTGGTACAGTCCACTGTCTGTTTCGCGATCTCATTAAGTACGCCTGTCAATTTGTTAATCAGTTTTATATAATGACAGTCTTATCTATGACCTATTTGACAGACACTTGACTACAAGCTCTTTTATCGATGCTTACATCAGCAACTGATGACTGATTGCTGAGTTAACAATTGTGCTTTATGTAGTTCACATTGGTGCTGAAGGCATTAATAACCATAAGAGCATTTTCTGTAAGCTGTCAGTAAATCTTTTTCTTTTGTTTTGCACAGTTATCCAATGAACTTGTGTTTTTGTGTGAGATCTGTGTTAATTGTTCTGTGAATGTATGTGAAAAAGTCAACACATTTGCAAAAGTACACTTCCGCTTTGCTAAAAAAGTGACAACAAAGATTGTCAATCCCAGTTTCATTGAATGTGTTTTAGCAACACGAAAAACTGTAACCAAAAAATGTAATTCACCTATTTTCCCCTCATACTCTAAATGGAGTAGACCAGCCAAGACATGTTTGGTGTTTGAACTTTACACTGCAGCCAAGAGGCTAATATAGCTAACAAGTAATGAAAATTTATACCCCATCAATTAGCACTGTGCAAACTCATCACACACTTTTCTCAAACCGTGTCAAGCTGTAATTTCAAACAAACTTGCAAAATCACTTGTGCGGTTTCTGACACTGCATGACAGTGTTAGTAGTAAAAATGGACAAGAAACAGCTGACATGGTGAAGATTTGTTTATAAGCACATTTACATATTTAAATTTGGGGTAAATGAAGAAGTTGTGTTTTGGGCTTTAATTGTCAACACATCATAATGACACTTACTGAATATGCAGGAGAGCCTCCTCTTTTCATATCAGAGTTCTGCACGTGTTTGTGTGTGTGAGGAGAGAGAGAGAGAGAGAGAGAGAGAGAGAGAGAGAGAGAGAGAGAGAGAGAGAGAGAGAGAGAGAAGGAGGAGACATTAGCAGCACACAAAACAGCTGGTGGAATAAATGAGTAAACGTTCCCGATGAATAGTCACTAGGTTAAATTTGCTTTTGACGAGAGAGAGAGAGAGAGAGAGAGAGAGAGAGAGAGAGAGAGAGAGAGAGACAGAGACAGAGACAGAGACAGAGACAGAGAGAGGAGAGAGAGAGCGCAAGAGAGACTCACTTCTGACTCTTTATCACTTGATGACCCCAGGCTGCCAAAGCTGTGGTTGGAGCACTCATTATTGTTTAACCCCTATAAACATGAAAAAACAGGCAAATCTATTTTAGCTTTTAATCAAAGTCTCTTTTATCAGAAATTCAACTTGAACAAGTAAAAACATCACTACTACAGAAAAAGTAAAGATTAGACATGTACTCAACTCTAACTCAAACTCTAACAGGTCAAATTTCAGCAGGACTGACAAACTTATACCAGGAAATATATTTTAGCATGTAAGATCTAAAATACATTTTTACAATCAAAACCAGCATTTTAACATACTGAAATACTAATTTTATTTAAATTGATATCTCACTAGTGAGAGCTGAAGTGTAACATGCAAATTATTTTTTTACATGCAAAAACTAAAGAACTATTTTTTTTTTTTTTACATAGTTTTATTTTAACATGTAAGAACTATTTTTTTTTTTTACATACAGTAAACTTTGAATGCCCTCGGTCAAATTAAGTTTTATTGATTTTCTGAGCGAAATAAGTTGACACTGCATATTCATTAATTAAATGTGTACACACACTTGTACACAATTTAATGCACAGTTACTGTTTAATATTTTTTTTACACTATGTTAAGCTCAGCAAATAAAACAGACATTGTGCACTAAAATCTGCAGAAAACACATAAGTTTGTTCCCTATAGGAGGACATGTTAATATAACTCAGAAAATCAATAAAACATGTAATTTGACCAGAGGTGTTAAAACTTTTGCATACAGCTTAGCGATTCAGTTTTCACTAGTGACCAAGAGAGACGCACACACCTTGGCCCCTCCGCTGGTACTCCCTGTGCTGCCTCCGGTGCTGCCGCTGACAGCCCCCATAAAGCGAGCCTCCAGTAGCTCCTGCCTGCGCGGGTCCAGAGACTGCAGCTCCTCCATCCCTACAACATACACACCATTACCCATTTAATTAATGAATATGCATATTTAACCCACACATTCAAATATTCAAACCATGTCAAGTTGTTCAGTTTTCTCCTCACCGGGGATTCCAAATGAAACTTTCCACTGATAAATATTGTTCTATATGCTCTTTGGATGCTCTTGAAACATTTATTCGTGTTTTCTGGCAGTGCCCCACAGTGAAACATCTCTGGGAAACTGGTTTCCCTGCTCTCTTCTTTTGAAGTAAATCTTGCTTTACACCCACCCATATTTCTGCTCACCCTTATTTTTAACCTGCAAATCTGTCAAAAGAAAATAGTACTGGCTTCTTTGACAGCAGTGAAGAAAGCAATTTTGAAATTTCATGCAGAACCGAAGGCAGTGAAGATCTACATTCTTGCACTATTTTATGGATATTTCGGTACTGGAGCAGGCCACTGCCAGACTGAATTGAGCAAAGGCTGATACTGTGGTCGCCCGGTCTGCGGCAATTATCTTGGTCAAAAAAAGTTTGGAACACAGCCTTGTCTAGCTTGAATTTATTTTATCTTTTCATGCCCCTGTGTGTATGTCTTATATTCTGTTGTGTTGCTTGGGTGCCTTTTTGTATGTTTAAGAAAAATATTTTCACAAAAAAGGAAGCACTTGCAAAAGCTCACTTACAATTAAGAATTTAAGAAAATAATTTAAATGATCTACTGTTTATTTATTGCATTTATAACTAGGGATGTGCATCAACTAATTCTTATACTCAAGTACCCGTAAAAAAAAATGAACTGACAATCTGTTAACCACAGGGAAGAAAAATAACACAAAAAAAAAAAAACAACAGAAATAAGAGACGGCAGACGTTTACGTAGGGCTGTTACCTCTTTAGATGACCACACTGGTGTTACACAAACGTTTAGCAGCATACAGACAAACACAAAATAAAATGTATGAAATATATGAATATATAGTAATATAATTTACTAACTACTCGCAAATACAAATGATTTCACCATGTTTTACAGCCCTGTTCAAAAATGTATTTCACTGAATTGCTGCTCTGTATATTATCTACTTGTGATAAAACAAAATGAATACCCAAATACTAATTACAGTGTTCAGATACTGGCATCTCGGACGATTTACTGAGTCCTTGAAGACCTGTGGACATCCCTAGTTATAACTTTATCCATACAGAGTTACTACATGTTATTTAGGGGGCATTTTGCTCTTGTACTTGTGTTTTAGGTGGCAAAGGTTTTGAACACACTTCTTCCTTTGCCATTGGATATTTTTGATCCTCTAACCGTAAACTTAACCTCAACCAACACTTGACCCTTACGCTGTTGATAATCAACTGTGGTCTTGTCCACAGATCTGGATTTTTTCCTCCCCTTCTGTAATCTTTGTCCACACTAGCAGCATTTTCAAAAATCTCTACATCACTGCGCAAATTAAATAGGGTAATATGACCATATTTAGCGTGATCGATAAATTGTCACAATATACAATATATTGTTACATTATATGTGTGTGTGTATACATGTGTATACAGACACACACATATAATGTAGGAGTATATTTTACATTGTGACAATTTATCTATCATGCTAAATACACACAAACACACACACACACACACACACACACAAGTCTAACAAGGTGACAGCGAGCGCCATGCTACAAATACTTTGATGTACAGACCATCAGACCTCCATAATTCAGTATTTCGCACAGAATCAAAGTCTGATTTTTGCTTAAATACTAAAACCAAAAGAAAACCTAATGCTTGCTGTGGGGCTGTTTACGGCTCCTTGGCTATTTCACCGTCTCTGAAACATCTACACTGTTCTGATAAGCTTTTCTAGCTGAACGACAGAGTTAGGATTTATATTGAACCTGACTTTGGTTAATGATCATCACATCACTTATATCTTTAGAATCACTGAGGTATTTTTAATATTTGCCACCCCATTTACAAGAACTGAGCGCAGTATGTTCTGACACGCCTGGCACTCAGGTTCAGTGAAAAAGTAAATTCAATGACAAACTAGTATAACTCCCAAATCACGCCTAAATTGGCAAGCACAAAAACAAGCCAGTCGTCTGTCATAGTTCATACTTAATTGTGCATAATTAATAAATGAAAAAGCTAATTTTTCAACACAAGTTAATGCTGCAATGTCAGGTTTTCCTGGAGAGTGTTTTCACTGTCCTCCTCTTGCCTGGAGGCCAAAACACAGAGAACAAGCTACATTTTTTAAAATATCCTGATACACGTGAACAGGGCCTGAGAGTTAACAGATTCATTCAATAACACTTTTAGTATTGTACACAGGCTATAGTGGATAATCAAATGAAAATGTGAGCAATATTTTTTGTTTTACAAATTATTAAAGTCCTGCTCTAACAGAATAATCTCAATATATGATGAATTTATATGAATAATGACATCCATGCACATTTACAGTTTCAAGGAGTGGCACAAATTCAAATTCAATGTTCAGTAAAATCAAAGGGACAAAATGGCCACTTAGTAATGACCGACAAATATAAACAATGAGCACCAATGCAACCTTTAGGGTTCAGACATATAGAAAGCTTTTGTTTTCGCAATGCCTCATCTCTGGCTGCAGCCTCTGCAACCCTCGGCCTGTCTGACACACCCGCCATGGCAAGAGCAGTGCCAAAAAGTGCCCGCAGCCAAAAGATCCCAAGATGGAGGATGGGTGGCGTCGTGGCGCATATGAAGGTCAACAGGGCAGGAAGAACACTGCCGGCAGAGAGAGCACACACACACACACGCACTCAGATGAAAATTCTCTGGGAAAGGATGAGCAGCTCCCAGAGAAAGAATCCAAAAAGCCCATCATCCACCTCATTGTAGACAGAACAAAGCACAACTGTACTGCGAGCTGTTACACTCAGGTGTCTGAAGTGAGATACCTCTTAGTTGTATACGGACACTGCAAGATTCAAATAATCACTAAAAGGGTTGAAGTGCAGACTTATTTTTTACGCCAGAAGTATTTATACAATCAGTTCGATTAAACACGTGAACATGGATAACAATGAATGGCAGTCAACCACTGGATATAGTAGAGTGCAAACTGTCACTGTTAATTCAGAAATATTTAAAGCTGTACTGTATAAGATTTCTCATTAAAATTGAAAGTAGCAGCATTACTGAGTCAGAAGAACAAAAACCCTGTTAAAATATGTGTGCGTGCTCTGCTGCAACTCGCCCTGTAAAGCCTAAAATAATTATTTAAAAGTCTTAGTTAGTCATCGGGTCAAATTTTTTGGAACACATCATACATCTTTACATATTAACAGCATGTGCAAAGGCTCAAACATCGAGCTGGACCTTCTTTTTATGTCTCAAATGCAAAAACAACATTACACTGATGAAGACATGGCATATCTTCATCAGTATAATACTGATTTTGCATCTTGTCTTCCTACAACAAGAGTAGGAAGACACGTCCTAAACCAAGTTTTGACTGGGTTTTCTTCAAATACTCTTTCAACGTGTTTGTAACCTTCAGACTCATCTTCTTGGGGAAGGGGTTTGAAGCAAACGCTGTTACAAAATGTTAATTTTGCGTGCAATTACACATTTCTACCAGAGAGGGCTCTAAGAAAAACTTACATAGTGTAGCTTTAAGGACTAAATCAATCAAACTTAAGATAACACTGCTAAAAATGAATGGAAGTCAGAAATCACCATTTAGCATGATCTCATGTGCAAAATGCATCATCACTATTACATCAGCAATATCTTCTCATTGGCTCAAACAGTGCCATTTCCTATCTGTGGTCACAGGCCTATCAGAGCACAACAGTAAAGACACAGGAGTCCATCCTACACATGGATATCAGTGTTACGTACTTGCTAATCTAGGACTTAAGGTACATCACACAAACAAAGCTGAACATTTAGTGCATGGACAGCAGATTAAAAACATGCCTTTGCTGTACGTATTAGAGTTCAGCAAAAAAATGTAGTTGAAGCCTGAAGTTTGCTTCTTTAGTTTCACACTGGAGCTAATGTGGGGGCTAAGGTAACATACACAACAATGGGTGCTTATAGCCACCAATTAGCAGATTTGCTATCATGGTTTCTGACACTGTATGACATGCTGTTATTTATAAACAAAGACAAAAATACATCATATTTTATCAGTACTTTTGTCAATTTTTTACAGCAACAGGGACGTGTACTACATTTGGGGTAAGATGAAAACTTTTTTGGTGAGCTGTTGCTTTAACCACTGGTTATTGGTAGGAGTGGTATCCTTTGAATGGGGGCAGGTGTCGTGATTTATAACAGTGAACTGGGACTAAATCATGAAAAATGAAGTTTTTCAAGGACATCACACAAACACAAACTCACCCAGTACATCATGACTTAGATATTCTTAGATATATACTCCATACTGCATTAGCTTTCATTCTCACGTTGTGCCTTGTCCAGTATTACAATCTTCCATAGCTCCTGCTCATTTTGGTCTCTAGTCTTGTCATCAGCACATGGCCACTCAGTAATGGCCACGATCTGTTGAGCTTAAATCAGCTGTCTGATTTGGCCAGTCAAGAATTTTCCACTTCTTAGCATTTAAAAAAACCCTTAGCAGCCATTGTGGTGCATTCTGGGAGCCCAGACAAGGCCTATTATTATATACTCCTAAATATGAGTAGATGTTCTGTCCTGACCAATACAAAAAATGCTTTTCATCAATCATTCAACACAGGATCCTCAATCAACATCAACACGTCAAATAAGTCAATCTTTACTCTAATATGTAACAAACATTTCAATTAATCTACAGTTTGTCTGTGCACTATCAGTTCCATAAATCCCATTTATTACCGAAAATTCAACAACTAGATTAGGCACTTCCTTCACATTAAGATTTACAACTTTGATTAACTAAAATTAATTGCAACTGTAATTTCGGGTTATATGGCTCCCTTTAAACTTTTAACAGCGTGTATTACACAATGCCCTTCAAAACTACTGAAATCTCCAACCCCGCAAGGTTTGATGAATGCTTGCATATGGGTTGGGAGGAAAATGACATGCCATAAAGGGGGTGGATTATTTCCATTCTAACCTTACAGTTTCAATAGTTTTTCAGTCAAAGTAATATTTAATTGCTGTGTTTCGTTTTTTTCACAAAAGCCATTGCAGCTTGGTTAAACAGATGATGTGTTTAGTCTGGGTGGACTTACTTCTAGTGTGTTAACGTGCTCAGTAGCCCAGCCTGCAACGCAGAGAAACAACTCCATCAACAAGAGGACGCAACTTACCCGAGGGAGTCTTTACCACAAAAACACGAAAACTTCAAACCAAGTCAGACACAATACATTCGCTTCACCAACCTTCAGCACCTAACAAGCTCTTGAACTATGCTGTTCATGGAATGACTACAGACACATTTACCTCATTTTACGGTAAAACATTCACCTAAGCGAGGTAACATTTTCAAAGCTAATGACACAGCTAGGCTAGGCTAAGCTAATAGCCCCGAAATGTCCAGCTTTGACATCGCACTAAAAATCTCTCGGTCCACAACAATAAAGAATAAAAACTTTGAAAAACAACCGTCTTACCTAAACTTCTGGGATTTTTTGCATATAAGGTAATTATTAATCTAGCTAAGCCACAACTGTCATCCAGACAGACACGTCGCTGCTAATGTATCTCTAGCTTTGAGATTTGACCACAGCCAACGGCCTCCGACTCGGCTGCCGTTCAGGGTCAGATTTCGGATCTTTTTCGGCATCATCCACCACAAACCGAAGATATTTTGAAAAGGGGGGGATTGGAGATTGAATGTGTAACGGATTACCTAATCCACGGGCTGTAGAAGATGAGATATTTAGGTGAAAAAACTAGAACCGCGGGGTCGGAGACCAAAGATGGCGGTGCGTCCAAACTTGAGCGCTGCCACTCCGGACCCTCTGGAGCCGCTTCACGGTGTTTCACGGCGGGGGAAAGCGGAGCACAAGCCCGCAGCAATCCGACCGACCTCCCGCTCCAACATCATCCACAGTTGCGGCCCATCAACCCCGCATTGAGCACGGGTCTATTTTCTGTTCTCTTTAAATAACAAAATCCAAAGTCTCTCCCCTCCTCCGCAGTGCGACTCACAGTGGGATCCGTGTGTGCATGTAACCTTTGCAACTGGCGTCATGCATCTCGGTACTGAACACACACACACACACACACACACACACACACACACACACACACACACACACACAAAAGTTTGTATTCCCCTCCTTGTGGGGTACTACCACTGACTTCGGTGTTAGGCCCATGTACTTATATAATGCTAAACATACGTCTAACGCAACCCTGGGGACATTTGGATTTGAAAAAGAACTACAGGCCATCACACACACACATAATCTTAATATCTTAAAGGAAATATTCGGCCTCTTTCGCTTATTTGTAGGCTACAAGACCTGCATTGTTGCAGTTTTGTTGTCCCCACATCATCAAACGTCCATATTTCGCTGTTATCACTCATGTCCCCACAAAAAGATAAATACAAACACAAGCACACACATTCGCACAGCGCTATATCGCGAGGTTCACGCACCTATTAGCACAGCACAACATGCCATCGATGCGATGTGAAAACAAAGGAGGAGGAGGAAGAGGAGGAGGCCCAAAAAATCCAAGTGTGCAACTCAGCGCCATGTTTGCTCTTTTCTTCCTGTGCACTCTCTGCTTGTTGCACATTCAAAAATCACTTTATGAGAAATGAGAAAATAATTGTTCAAACTAATAAGGATTTTACTTGTATTTGTACTGAGTTCATGTCACATATCCAACATATAACCTATATCTTCAATATCAAATGATAAGTCAGTGTTTATTAAAGGATCACTCCGGCCAGAATGAAAAACGTAACCATTTCTCCATCTGTTGTAGATGTGCCTATTTCCTCCTACAGTGATGGCACAGTAGTCTCTAGACTGAGATTTACTGGTTTAAAAACTAAGAAATCTGCCCCCTGATGATGTATCTTGAAGGAGAGAAGAACCTTTGAAAAACTACTCCTGCTTTGGGGTGGATACTTGAGCGCAGGCTGTTGGAAATGTTTCTGAACATCACATCCATATTTACTATCAGTGGCTATGCTAGTAAGGAATTCTTAATTTGGGGTGGGGGGCTTTATGATGTATTTGCATGCTGCATGCTGGGTACTGTATATAAAGAACAGTGATAGACGAAAACACAAGGGCGCACAATTGTGAATGTGTTGAGAGATGCAGAATACTGAACGACAAACAATATATTCAATGCTGGTTTAAGGCCAGAATTCCTGTTTAAAAACAGTCCTGGGATTTCTGTCTTATGACATCTAAGTTCCAAAGAAAACACCTTAATTTGTTTGGCCTGACTACTTGTCTGTAGGTGTGGAAATATGAGTGCTGAATAGCCATTGCAGGGTGGGTCTGTATTTCAACATTGCAGTAGTGATGAATCTGGGCACAGACAGGGCGCAGATGGCTGCTGTGTGTCATTAATAGAGGCACAGATATGAAGAAAAACAAACATGAGTCATATTGTTTTTCCATCCAGAGAGCCCTCAGAGATAGACCCCTCTATATGCAGCTACAAGATGCAGATATATTTCTATTAGATACAAGCTACATTTTTATTCCAATATTAAATGGTAGATAATGTATGTGTTATATGGCAAATAACAATAAAAAACCTAATAATGATAAATGAAATTCCAATCTGCATATTGAGTTGTAAGGAAATAATAGACATGGAATGCACATTACGTTTTCCCTCTCACACATAGAAAGAGAGGGATCATTTATCATTTGACCACATTTGTCTTGAACTTACAGAGGTGATAAAAAGCCTCTATAAATGGAATCGTACATCCAGCTGAGGAAGACTGTTGGCTGTCTGAATGGAAAACTACCAGTTCCTCCAAACGTCTCTAGCTCTTCACACTACAAACCCAAACAGTCTTCCTAAACTTTCCATGTGCTGACCACAGTCACCATGACAGCTTTTCTTTAGAATGAATCATTGACGCTGGCTAAAGATTCTGTGTGTGATGTCAGCTGTTTGCATAAGTATATCAAAGTCTGATGATGATAAGCAATTTTCAGATCTCCAGAATGCAATATATTAATAGCAAAGTAATGGACTGAAACATATTCAGTATATCACTACATTATATAATATTTTGTTTTAACATATAAAGTCAATTTGTCAACCTCAAATTTATAATATCACACTGATTCTCTTTGCTTCATTTTTCAAATACAAATTTTGCATTACATTTGTGAGGAAAAATTATTTTTTTTCCTAATGGACAGTCAGAAATGAGAGTTTCTTTACTTTAAAAAAATGATTCAAATATAATTTACTCTCAAATGTGTGAAAGACACATCAGCGTTTATGCAAAATATTTTATTCATATGGAAATGATGTATACATTTATAGCAAGGCAAATTCATTGCAGTACTTTTTTCAGTGTACTCATGCACTTTATTAGAGCAGTGGTCCTCCTGACATGTAGGGATGAAGCAAAAATGTAAACCATTTGGAGACCCCTGAGGACCAGTCTGACAACCACTGTCTAGGAGATCTTAACATTTTTAAGCAAGTTTTACTTTAAAGGGCCCATATCATGGGAAAACTGACTTTTCCTTTTTTTTTTTTTAATAAAAATGGAATGTAGTATGTAAACATGGTTTAAGTTTCAAAATGTTCTGTTCATTCTCGAATGCATATATGCAATCTAAGCCACAAAAACAGCCCATTTTGAGTTCATTGTTTTTGTGATGTCACAAAAACCAACACATCTACCTAATCAGCCTAGAGCAGTTTAGCCCTGCTCAGTCATTCTGAAGTTGTAAGAAGTGGTTATTCTGAAATGCTTTTTGAATGAGGTGCAATACAAGGCAGCCAATCAGAACAGAACTAATTTACATATGTTAGTCTGAAAGAGCCTGTTTAAGGGATAAAGAGAGGTGGGAAAATGGTCATGTAAAAATGAATTATGACTGCTTTGGGTTTATAAAACTACACAGACTTTATAAAGAGACTCTAGGGGAGTGTATGAAAAGCAAGAAAAATATAGGGTATGGGCCCTTTAAGGCTGAATTTCAGACATCAGTTATTGCCTTTAATCCATTCAAGTGCTATTACTGGACTGAATAAAATGGCAGGCTACATGCTTTAATAAGTTAGTGTTCACTTTTGTTTTTTTCTTATTTATTTATTTATTTATTGCCATTGTTTTTGGTGTCTTCTTTATGCACATCTCCTACTGTGTAACATTACAAAAAAATTAAGTGGGATAGTCTTTTAACACACTATACAAAAGTCTTCTTGTTACTGTTGAACACTTAAATGTTACAATTTTGTGGAAAGTGCATTTCAGTTCTAAAGTTCTAAACTTTCAACCCATACCACAACCATATTTTTGTCAGATTTGACATGGAGTTAAGTAATTAAATAATGACATTTAAATTACATAGCAATACAACAGTAATAACTCCTACATTTAATAATAATAGAAAACATCCTGAGATATCTGACAGTTACTCACCTCTGCAGTTGCAGTAAAATCCCATAGTGTAGTACACATGTAAGTGTGAATAACAGATCATGTAATGCTCCATATCTGTGATGTTAAAAGACATCAAATTCAGGCCATTCTTTCCATATGCAGTTTGTTGTAGTTGGTGTGGTGACTCTAACACTTTTCGCTGTGACTGGCGTAGCACCCCACTGGCAGTGGAAACTCACTCATGCTGTGGAATATTACATCTGGGCTGTGTTCAGAAAACCAGGGCTGCTGCTTTATCTGTGTATGAATATTCACGAATAGGATTTAATTTAGGGGAGTCTTTTCGTTAGACTCCTGAGGATAATGCCAATAATATTCTATACCTATACAGCTGTATGCAAAATTTTGAGCACCCCCAGTCAAATGACATGTTTTGTCATGTCATGTCTAAGTGAAAATCAAGTTGAAGGGGGATTTTGCATAATTTCGCTCTTGATATATACACAAAGTCTTTCTGAGTGGTTTGCTATGATGTGGTTCATTCTAAACAAACATACTAAGTCATATTTTATTACAGTGGTGGTGATAGGAACCAGGGGTTGCGATATCTACAACATAAATATAGCCATTTTATTTATTATCCAAAACCACCTGCATGTGTCTTCTGAGTTTTTATGAATGATAAAACAGTGTTAAATCCAAGATAAAGGTTTTCCATTTTGCCTTAAAAAGACCTGCATGTACCTCTTCACCATGCAGGGATTTAAAAAAAATAAGTTTTAGGCCAAAAGCTTATGTCAAAACTATTGCGAAGCAATGTCTCAGGCATCAAGCAGAAGAATTCATGTAATAAGTTTCTGTGAGGGAGCTTTTTGAGGCATTAAACTCTTCAGACGTCACTTAAATTCAGCAAATAAACAGTAGTAGCAGATTAAAAGTGTGTTCTCTATAGACTTATTTTTACTTCAATCATCAAAAAAAACAAAACATGCCATCTGACCAGGGCATGCAAACTTTTGCACACGACTGTATTATTGTGATAAAGCACAGCTTCTTCATTCTCTATGCATATAATCATTCACTTTGTTAAGTATTGTTCACCTCCAGCCGGTCGTTGTGCCCTGTCTCTGGGTCAGTTATTGCAGATTGGATCAGTTATTGCAGATATTTGATTATTCTCCTGGAATGTGCATTTTTCAATGGGCCTGTACTTTAATTTATATTTATTTTTATTTATTTATTTAAGTTAAATCAAATAAACAAATTCAATGTTAAAATTGAATAAAACTAACAGAAATGGTCCAACATTACTAAAATCCCCTATACCATCATAAATACTGGATTTTGAACTGTGCATTGATAACAAGCTGAGTGGTCTGGATACAGCCCGGAGGACACAGTGTCCATGATTTCCAAAAACAATTTCAAATGTTGATTTGTCAGACCACAGAACACTTTTCCACTTCGCCTCAGTCCATCTCAAATGAGCTCGGACACAGAGAAGGTGGCAGCATTTCTGGATCCTGTTTATATATGGTTTCTTCTTTGCGTTTTAGAGTTTTAACTAACTTACAGTTTTAACAGACAGTGGTTTTCAGAAGTGTTTCTGAGGCCATGCAGTGATTTCCACTACAGAATCATATATGTTTTTAACGCAGTGC